CAAAAAAATTTATATAACACAGAGGCTTAATAGTCTATAATTTCTGGAGTCTCATTAACTTAATAGAGAACATAATTAAAGAGTCGTTGATTATCGACCCAGGTCAACATCTATCAATACTGCCTAACCAAGAACAGTATATTCGAAAATGGAAAGAAATATATCTGTTACCCAAGCAACAGAGACAACCCATACCACTTCTGGTGTATAAACCCTGGATGAATACTGGTCACAGTGGGCGTATACGTGGGTTGCCTATCCCCCAGGGTGGGCACCCAATAGCAACCCTACACACGTGACCGTATCAAATGTATAAAGGAAAGCACAACTATTACATAACAGCATAAATAGTGTGAGATAAACATTGGGCTGCATATCTCACACTATTTATGCTGTTATGTAATAGTTGTGCTTTCCTTTATACATTTGATACGGTCACGTGTCTAGGGTTGCTTTTGGGTGACTTTGTATTTTCAGTATGTCCTGACGAAAGCTTGAGGGGATCAAGCTGAAACGTTGACTGTACTGTTTTAGTGGAGGTAATAAAAGTTATATTTTATTTATAGTCCTTGGAGTGCTATCACTGACAACTATTTTGTATTTTTAGCCGACAAGCACCGGGCACTTAATTTGGAACTGGTGGAGTGCAAGATTTATTGGAATATGAATGTGTGTATATATATATATATATATATATATATATATATATATATATATATATATATATATATATATATATATATATATATATATATATATATATTTATTGTGTATTGTATTCTTTATTTTCTATTTTCTCCTACCTATCAATCCTTCTCGCTTTATGGATCCTGGAGTCATCCAGATTAAGCAGATAAGGGCAGGTTTCAACAGTGGCACACACGGCCTGGCAGGAGGCCAAAGGCAGAGGCAGACAACTAAGTCACCACATAGCACATACAACCCAGACCTAGCATGCCAATACGCATCACCTCTTTAGAGAACTCAAAAGACTAAACCCAGTCATTTTATAGGAAACCCACGTACCAAGCACTCTAGGCACCCAGACCACTTCAGCTTAATGAATTGGTCTGGGTGCCTGGTCCAGCTAGGATTAACCCATTCTTTTACAAACATAGCAGTTTTAGAGAAACTGCTATGTTTATGAATGGGTTAAGCCTTCCCCCAAAGCCTCTAGCGGCTGTCTCATTGTGTATTTTATGTTTGTTTACATGACCTGTATCCCATTTATTGTCAACATCAAAGCCCTCTGGGATAGTGAACAGGTGCTAGAGGCGCTTGCATGCTTCTCACTGTGATTTTCACAGTGAAAGCACGCCAGTGTCTCTAGGAAAGCATTATGAATGCTTTCCTATGCGACCGGCTGAATGTGCGCGCAGCTCTTGCCGCGCATGCGCATTCAGCCGACAGGGAGGAACAGAGGAGGATAGCTCCCCGCCCAGCGCTGGAAAAAAGGTAAGTTTTTACCCCTTTCAGAGCTGGGCGGGAGGGGGACCGTGAGGGTGGGGGCACCCTCAGGGCACTATAGTGGTCCTTTAAAGACCATATCTATAGCACTGGCTATGAAGCCAGATCACACCCCAAACACAATGGTGTGGCAATACTAATCCACAAGCAATGCCCTCTGCGCATAAAGGGGGTGGAACCAGACTTTGAGGGACGATACTTGGTGGTCTTGGGGACGCTGTTTGCACACACACCATTAACATTTATGTACCCACCAACCCAAACACATAATTCTGGATAACATCAGAGGCAAGATTGAAATGCTACCACATGGCATGACCATATTGGCGGGGAGACTTCAATGCGGTACACAGCCCGGCAGCAGACAGGGGCGCAAGTGAGGGCCTACCATGCTCCCACGGCAGCGGCACACAGGACAAATGGCACATAACTTCATAGGCTTGACAGGACTGATAGACGTATGGAGGGCGCAACATCTGGATGAAGTAGACTTTATGTTCTATTCAGCGCCGCATGATTAGTATTCCCTAATAGATTACTTCCTCGTAACCAACCAAGTCATTCCCAAAATACCCAAGTCCTCAGTGGGATCCATTACATGGTCAGACCATGCAGACATTGTTATAGAGATAGACAACCTATGCACCACAACCCCCTGGTTCTGGAAATTGAATACATCTTTACTAAACGACCCCCTCATAAAGGAAACCATCCACAAAGAAATAGAAGATTATTTTCAATGAAGTACTACACCAGACCTGACACCTGTGACTATATGGGCTGCACATAAGAGGGGTGCTCATTAGCGAAGCTACTTGCAAAAACTAAAGGCCCTACTGACTGACTTACACAAGTCAGCACAATACAAGACAAACCAAACACCAGACAGACTCCAAAAACTGAAGCCTCATTGTACGCTCACATGAGCTCTAACACTGAATGCGGAGAACTAGCTTACACAACACAGTGGGAATCTGATCTCGGAGAGGTCCCAGAGGGCACAGAATGGAGGGAAATATGGGATGCAAATAGGGCTACCCCAGTATGTGGCACACAGCAGGAACAAGCATACAAAACCATCTTCAGGTGGTACACTATCCCAGTGAAGTTACACCATAGATGACCTCTGTTGGAGGGTTTGTGGACACAGGGGGACATACAAACATGTGGTGGGACTGCCCTAAAGTGCAGTCCTTCTGGGAAGAGGTGGGAGGCCTTTTGGAGAAGGTATTCCAGAGATGGGTAAAAAAATAAAATAAAAATAAAAAGACCCATGGGTGTTTCTACTGTCCTGACCAAGAAGAGAAGAAACACTATTGCACAAACTCACCCTAGCGGCCAGGCGAACCATGGCACAAGTATGGCTCAAACCTGACACCCTCTGTTGGAAACGAATTCATAAAATTAAAGATACCGATATAATGGACCTTCTAACTGCACACAGAGGTACAATGAAATCATACGAAAAGATATGGGAGATGTGGATGGCTAGAGATTGAGGGGACCAGGGGAAGCAGGTGATTGGAGGCACTAAACCCCTACACCAAGTAAAAAGAATCCCAACCCCGGCCTTCCAACTCAGAGGGCCTCGAACCCAAGATAGACATGAAACTCTGGGCCAACCGATCTAGAAAAGGCTTGAATCTTACCACATAAACCTAGCCACAGCAAGCATAAAAAAAACACTACACCCAGACCATGTGAGGGACACTATCCTTTCCTTCCTCCCCCCCCCTCTTCTTTTCCTACCTCTTGTGAGAGTGTTATCAAACTGCATATGTACGAGCAACTATACAACTACATAAGAGGCTGACTTGTGAACAATCTTGAAATGTTTCTGTTAATGTTATTGTTGTGCAATATGTTATGGTTTATTAAAAACCTGTGTTGTTGGAATGCTAGACACCCATGAAAAACAGCAAGGATGCCTACCAACAATTTAAAAGAAAAAAAATTAATGAGCTTAGGTCATTGGCTAAGCGCTCACACAATTAGTTGACACTGCACTGCGGTGCTTAGCTTGGGAGAGGTGTAGCTTACTGCTAAAAGCAACTATCAATAAGATCAATACATAGTTAGACATGGCGTACATTAAGTTCAGCCTCTCACATCTGTTTTTGCTGTTGATCCAAAAGAAGGCAAAAAACAATTTAAAGATATAACAAAAATCGGGGGCGGGGCCTGACAGCCAAGATGGCCGCACGTACTCCTTGAGAGCTCCTGCACCAGCAAGCAAACAAACGTGCATCCTGACTAAACTGCCCATGCTGGTGGCACAAAAAGCCCCAAAAACAGAGTGGAACCGCATGGGGAGCATAACGATACCTGTCATGTACCACTGCACACTGCGGGCACATGGACCGGCCACGCGGCCTACACTGGAGCGGAGCCCGAGGTCTGGGGGAGACGACCGACCCCCCGGCACGAGACCTGCTCACAAGCGAGCGTTGACTACTGCCCTGCTACCCCCCCCTCTGGACCGGCGGGGGATATCCCGGTCCTCGCTGGGGACGATCACCCCAGCAAAGCAGACTAAACAAGCGACCAAATCTACAATCAAACGAGATAATAGAAACGCAACCAAGATGGCGGCCAAGGCGCGTCCGGCGCCAAAATGCACCCTTGTTCAGCCACCCAAGCACACCCAGGAGTTCTTCGCCCGGCTATGTAACAGCCTATGGACGAGGCTCCGCACTAAGGGCCGATCCTTCCATCTCGCCATGAGAACAGCGGTGGCATGGATCCGGCCGACTACACGGCGACACCTGTGCACATTCTCCCCACGAGCTCCCAGGGGGGCTTTCAGTCAGAGACAGAGGCGGGAGGCGAGAGGGCGAGGAAGGGCAACAGATCCCTCTACATAGATAGGCATCGCTACCAGAATAGCTTGTTTATACCATAACATTTAAAAATGTGCCGATACTCTCATGCCACGATTGTACAACTACTGTGTTTATACCTTTCAATTATGCCGTTGTGGCATTGAAAACGTTTTGTCATTACTTGCACAAAGAAAAATAAAGAATTAAAAAAAGATATAACAAAAATCAATTGTCGGTATCAAAATAGTTGTTTTTTTTCTTTTTTTAACTAGTATGCTTGGCAGTATTGTCTACGTAGAATGCAAATTTTTCAAATCTAGCATTATTAAAATCTGTGGAAGTGTGAAAAAATTACAGAGCATCTGAAGAGACAGCAGTGGGCACCTGTAGTGCCTGTGGACATTTCACAATTGTTAGGAGTTGGCACTTTATTTTATTAAAGATTTGTGTGTTAACACTTGTGTGTATTTTATGTTTGTTTACATGACCTGTATCCCATTTATTGTCAACATCAAAGCCCTCTGGGATAGTGAACAGGTGGAAACGTGACAAGTTCGCTTTAAAAAGAATTAACTTTTTTTTTTTTTTTTTTTTAAACACTTTTTTAATTCAATACATTTCCTGTGCGTTTCAAGCATCACAGAAAGGATAACCATTTCCTATAACAATTTAGACAACTCTTATTTTGAACAAGTAACTTTAAAAAGAAAGTGAGCAAAGAGTTTTCTTTATTTACATTTTTAAGATCATTTCAGTTTACAAGGTATAGAAACATTTTATTGAATACACATTTGAAATATCCAAGTTTTAATAATTTAATTGACATAAAAACATATAAAAAGGGCTCATATACAGTAGAAGGCAGTGTACAACACACAGAGGAAGCCTGTATAAGTGATCCACAGATTTCTGAAAACGAGAGAAAATTAAATACAGATAAAGAAACCCCATGTATTTCCTTTACATCTGATTAACGGTTATTCACATTAATCGACAAAACATTAGAATATCATAAACAAAAATCTTGTTATATGTTTCTATTTGTAAAGACCTATTCTAAATAATAATGAGAATATATATTGGTCTGTTCATTTATTTAATTCTAAATGGGGCACATTAAGCACCAATACTTCCAAAAGAAATGATTGTCTCAGAGTGATAAGCTAACCCACCTCAGTGCTCCCTGCCTAGCATTGCTGGAAAACTTCGGACTGCTTTGGATGCATATGTGAAATGGATGAGTAAATGTAAGTTCTGAATTATCAGAGGAGCTGCAGAGGTGCTGGGCTTTTGGAATATACCCAGTCTGTCAAAAACACAAACATTTCACATACAACCACCCTAAACAAACAGGAAACAGAGGACTTTCTCCACACTAACCACAATTTTGAACCCTATTAATGGGTTCTTTCACTTACCTTAGGATAGTAATGAGATGAGGGCATCCAAAAACTTGCTGCGGTCTTCTGTTCTTAACTCTATAACTAAGGATTAAAGGGGGGGGGGGAGGATAAATGTGTAAGTACAGATAATACACAAAAAAAGTATCAATTTCCATTGTAATGCAATTCACCAATTACAGTGCATTTTCAGTTATTTTTATACTCACAGGATGCATCAATGCTACCTACAAGATCCCACAATAAGTACACCAAGAAGAAAAATAAAAACCCACAAGACTGGCTGAAAAAGGGTTAAAGGGTGCAGAGGTTACACCGAGCAGAGCTCATGCCGTTTGACCTCGCTCCACAACAGATCCCTTGAAAACTGGCGTTATTCAGATGAACACCTACAGAGCAGCTGTATCTATGCATTAATGTTAATGGAGGTCTTCCAATACATTGAAAAAAAAAAACACTTTTTTTTGGGTTGGGTGTAGAAAAGAAAAACATAAAAGCCCACATATCTTCAAAGAACAATTTCACATTATGCTTGGAAGGATGAAAAGTATGGGCCAAATGGTTAGTCTGGAGTCAGCATGTTAGTCTACTTACTTGACATATCAAAATGATTGTGTAATGTTCGAGAACTTGTGCTCTCTGCTGCTTTCTCGAATGCTCGGCCGAAAAAACTGCATTTAAAATTAAACAAAAAGGACCATAATGTAAAGAATTAATTATGCCATTATCTTGGATGCATGCAGGATTCCCCCCATAACAGACAATGGTAGTTGCAAATTGTAGTCTTTGCTTGAGCAGCATACTTTGTTCGCTTCTTGATTTGCCAACATTTAGGTCAGTTACTTGCTATATACACCAATGATTAAAAAGTGTTCACTTTTTCTGGTAAACAGGATCATCATTTTTTATGTATTATGTCAAAGTAATTGGTGTCAAAAGGCTGATATTAACAAATTTAATGTATTAAATATTTGTAATGTATTAAAAGTACCCAAAACGTTAAAGGCAAAATAAAAATCTGTAACTTTTTGCAGTTGCTGCATAGATCTCTACCCTATTCCAAAGCAGAAAGTAGCAAAACACACTTTCAGCTTTTCAATTCCTATTCAGTGTCTTTGTGTTTTGCATGAAGTCACTGAATGTCTGTTGTGCAACTTTTGCAGAACCAAAACCAGAGTTCCCTCTAGTGGCGGTCCAAGTGACAGCCAGCAGAGGTGGCCTATGGTAGCAGTGTAAACAGTTCCTTTTCTTGGAAAATGCATTGTTTACACTGCTGAAGCTGTAGGTACAGTATCTATAGGATAGAACCACTACATTAAGCTGTAATTGTTCTGGTGCCTATAGTGTTCCATTAAGAACTTCTAAATACATAGTGAAACTACTTTAAGAAGTGTCAAACCTGCTTCTTTTTATACGGTTAATGTGATTTGTTGCTGGTCTTTATCACCCTTACTTTTAGTAAGTGCTCACTCAATTTGTACTTCTTCCACAAGCCCCTGGAGAAGGTAGCACGGAACGCAGGTAGGGTATACTGGTGCTGAGATGCCCTATGCCTTTGTCTCATTGCAGGGGAAGGGACCTACTAGAAAGTGTGCTAAGTGGAGGACTTGGGCATGTGCCACCATAGGTCATATGCTGCCAGCATGCTATGCTGACGGAAGACACTCAATATGTAAAGAATAAACATTAGCTCATAACTGTCAGTGTTGGAGTTACATCTCCAGAAGCAATGTGATATATCTCAAACTATAAATAGATTTTTTTTAATTGCAACACTACACATACATACTTCAAACACCATGACCACGTCAAATCATGTGGTCATGGTTCTTGCTGTAACCATTTAAACGGTACACAGGGACATAAATATGAATCGTTACATAAATTTGGGACAGTAAAGAATTTGGTTTAACCATTTAATGTTTCCACAAAATAAATAAATAAATGCAAATTATGTTTATCTACTAAATAACATATTGTAGAACTACCAGGGTAATTGACAATTTTAAGCAGCCAAGCTGGAAAGTAGAATTTGTCAAGATGTCAATTTGGCCTACAATGAAAGAGTTATTTATACAGTAAACTAGGAGTATTAGAAAACAAACATTTTAATATGGTTCTGTTATAGTAGGTTCCAAATGAAGAAATAAAACAAAAAAACAAAAAACTGTTCATGGTCCTTGGGAAATAGCAAGGATTGCAATAAATAAATAAAAATGTAGCTCAGTAAATACAGTGTTGCAACACAGATGACCTTAAGAATTGCACTGATCAGCACTTTGTGAAATTTCCCAAGTAGGTTTCCTAAGCAAACAAAATCAGCTTAAAAAAAGGGGGAAGCAAACCTCTGGCCACTGTGCCTGCATTCTTTGTGAAACCATTTGAAAGCAGTTTTACACAGAGCAGGGCTTTCACTAGCACCCTTAAGAATGACCCCACTACAGGTTATTTGATAATGCAGAATTCACACTTTACATATAAATGCCATACAACGTGAACAGTATTAATACCATGATGGGACTGGGCTGACCCAACCCCAGCCAATCAGTCTGTCCTGTGTGAGTGAAATGGACACTGGCAATGCAGAAGTGTAAATTTAGATTATCATAATGCAGCTGAAGAAAGGGTGGTCTCTAGTTGCCCAGGAAAGCCCCAATCTTTGTCAAAGCACAAATAGAATATTTGAACGTGCCCAGAAACTACTGGCAACAAAACAGTTTTCTGAACGGAACGGTTAACAGTAATCGTCACACAATGCAGAAGCACCACCATCAGACCCTTTTCCATGACAGGGAGGATAGGGATATCCACGCTGCACAAGTGTGTACAGAGGAGGAACTATGAGCAATTCTAAGCAGAGGTAAAGCGACAGAGAATCTCCTAACACAACCTGTGCAAAACCACCATGTACACAAAGTACTTCTACACACACAAGAAAGATAAGACATACTTTTTCTTGTCTGAAATCTCAGCTTCAGGAGGGATTCCGACCATGATAACTGTTCCCATATCAACATCCAGGGGTGCTGCCAGCACCAGCGGGAGAAGTTTACAGCGCTTGTTTTTTGTCTAGCATGAGAAAATACATAAAACCCAAAAACTGTTAATTTCCCAGAAACTGCATAATAGCATCCCCTAAAATCCACCCCTTTCTGAGCACATGTACATATTAACCCACTTGCCTGCTATTTATTTTCTGTTTGATGCTTAAGTTTGCATACCAGGCAAATTAGTATACAAATAGATGAAAAGGACTGTATACACCTATCTTACATTGTGCTGTATTACATATTTTTTTTTAGTACATTTGTAGTAATTTGCTTATTTATGGCACTTATAAAATAGCATAGAATACTCTACAAAATAAATAAATCTTTGCGTTAAATTTTCTTACATCTGCTGTACTCATCCCATTAAGGAATTCAACAGAATTTACTGAAGAGATCAGAGAACCCAGACAAACATAAATACAGGTAGCTATACATGGTTGTGTAGTGGGAATAAGTGTAGGAGGGGTTATTACAGGTGTCCCATGACTACCTGTTCAGGGGCAGAGAAGGAATGAACTACCCATTTGTATGGAATACTTTTAAACCACAGAAAATGAGATGGCACCAGTGCACACACCCAAATTTCAGTGAACGCATCAAGGTCAATAGGCCTGAAAAAAATGGATATGCAAAAAAGCATATTTTTCCCCTTCCTGGGACGCCTGAAACAATTTGTGCCAGGACGACAACTCTTAAAAAAATACGAAGCGGAACATTTAACCTCATTTGGAAACCAACGTCGTCTCGAACGCCTAACAGACCACTACGCACTCAACAGACAGGATAAACAACATACACCCACACCAACTGCATACATTGTCGGTAGAGATTATTAAATGTTTTCCTGACACTATAGTGCTAGGAGGTTAAAATCCCATCAGCAGCTTGCCTTAATCCAGCGTGGGCTCCCTCGGTGCTGGTGACCTCTCCTCCCCCTGCTGACGTCACTGGAGCAGAATGCGCATGTGCAGCAAGTGCCACGTGCGCATTCAAAATGTCCACAGGATAGCATTTCTTAATGCTTTCCTATGGACGCTCTGCGCGATGGAGGCAAAATATGTCTTCCGGACAGCCACTAGAGGCCTGATTAACCCCAAATGTAAACATAGCAGCTTCTCTGAAACTGCTATGTTTGCATCTGAAGGGTTAAAACCTGAGGGACCTGGCACCCAGACCACTTCATTGAGATGAAGTGGTCTGGGTGACTATAGTGTCCCTTTAAACATACAGGTATTTCCGTTACAGCAATAGCCATGTATTCTCCTGTACTGTGTACCACATCACGGTATTATATCAACCTTCTGTCCTTAACAATTTAATGTGAATTATGGTATGTCACCACTGTTGCGAAACATCTATACGAAAATCTGTCACTGCACACACTGACTACTGCTCCAGTCTAAATGCAAGGGTTACACATATTCTACCAATACTTCCATTTTCCTCCTCTTTTTGTAAATTCCTGTCCCTTGCCGTACTCCAGGTACCAAAGGTGGGTAGAGCTGGTGTTTATATTTATTACTTTGGAATACTACTACACCGCTGGTCTCTTTAGCAGGGATGCGGAATCAGGAACCTACAAGTTACCGGTGATGGTGTCGGGGGACACTACTATTCTTAATTGCTCTTTATTCATAAAACAAAAAATTGTTTTTTATTATGCACGTATTTGACGGTGGGTATAGATACAGATCATTTAGTTCGACAATGATAATTTTACAATTCATGTTTAGAATGCTATACACGGTGATAAGCACTTATGTTCTGTAAATGCTACGGTCTTGAACTTCAGGAACACTTTGTTGTGCTACTTAAAGCAAAAAAAAAAGTATCATATTTTTACTTTGTCAGACATGTCCTTTGGACCGATGTCAAGTTTTAACTTACAGTTTAACCACAGCCTTAGGTTTCCGGTTTTAAACGGCCAACTTACCTTTTTTAAATGTACATGTACTAATTGCCATTGGTTGATAAATGCTGTTGATGTATATACCCCCAGACAACTGTGTGTGTAATATATATTACACACACATATACACAGTTGTGCTCAAAACCTTTGCATAGCATTGGAGAATTGGTAATATATGCACCATTTTTAAAGAAATCATGAGTGAGCTAGCAAAACATTTCTTTTATTTCTTATGGGATTCATATTCAACTGGAGGTTATAACAGAATGGCACAATCAGAAAACAAACCATGACAAAAAAATAAATTAAATGACCCCCTTTCAAAAGTCTGCATACCCTTAGTTTTTAATACGGTGTATTGCCCAGCTTAGTATCAATGACAGTGTGCAGTCTTTGGTAATAGTGGTCTATGAGGCCCCTAATTCTTGCAAGTGGCATAGTTGCCCATTTGTATTGGCAAAAAAATGACTCCAGGTCATGCAAAGTCTTTGGTCATCTTGCATGAACCACATGTTTGAGATCTCTCCAGAGTTCGATGATATTAAGGCCAGGAGACTGATGGCCACTCCAGAACCTTCACCTTTTTCTGCTTTTCAACTTGGCCTTTTGCTTAGGGTCATTGTCATGCTGGAAAGTCCAAGAGCGTCCCAGACACAGCCTTCATGCAGAAGGATGCAAATTGTCTGGCAGTATTTTCTGATAACATGCTGCATTCATCTTGCCACCAATTTTCACAAGACTTCCTGTGCCTTTAGAGCTCACATCCCCCTCAAAACATCAGTGACCCACCACCATGGTTCACAGTGGGGATGGTATTCTTTTCACTATAGGCCCTGGTGACCCCTCTCCAAACATAGCGTTTATGGTTGTGACCATAGAGCTCTATTTTTGTCTTGTCACTCCAAATTACAGTGTGCCAGAATATGTGAGGCGTGTCATGGTGTTGTCGGGCATATTGTAACTGGGCTTTTTTGTGGCATTGGTGCAGTAAAGGCTTCTTTCTGGCAACCCATTTTTGTTCAAGTATCGTCGTATTGTGCTCCTTGAAGCAACCACACAGTTTTTTGTTGTGGCTGAGATCTTTCTTGGTCTACCTGACCCTGGCTTGGTATCAAGAGATCCCCGAATTTTCCATTTCTTAATTCGTGATTGAACAGTACTGACTGGCATTTTCAAGGCTTTGTATATATTTTTTTATATCCTTTTCAATCCATATAAAGTTCAATTACCTTGTTACGCAGGTCTTTTGACCGTTCTTTTCTGCTCCCCATGGCTTAGTATCTAGCTTCCTCAGTACATCCACGTGAGAGCTAAAACTCATTAGCTATTTATACACGGACACCAATTGCAATTTAAAAAGCTACAGCTTAATGAAGTGATCTGGGTGCCAGGTCCAGCTAGGGTTAACCCTTTTTTCTATAAACAGAGAATCTGCTATGTTTATATTAGGGTTAATCCAGCCTCTAGTGGCTGTCTTCCTGAAAATCACAGTGAGAAGACGCCAGCGTCCATAGGAGAGCATTGTGAATGCTTTTCTATGAGACTGGCTGAATGCGCGCACGGCTCTTGCTGCGCATGTGCATTCAGATGAGGAGGAGAGTTCCCAGCCCAGCGCTGGAGAAAGAGGTAAGTATAACCCCTTCCACCCCCTAGAGCCTGGCGGGAGGGGGCACCCTCAGGGCACTATAGTGCCAGGAAAACGAGTATGTTTTGCTGGCACTATAGTGGTCCTTTAATTGCCATTTTAACCTGTGTGTGTCTGTAACAAGGTCATATTATATATATATATTTTAAGGATATTGACCAAGGGACAGGTCAGGGTGTCTCCTACCAACTAAAACCATAAGTTGGGGAAGGGCACTGACTATCTCCTAGTAAAAAAAGATCACCTAGTTGTTCTAGATAAATAGGAGATAACCCTAATTACTAAAATAAGGAATGAAGACAATATCCAAGGCGTTCACTCCAAATGGAAGTGAATGTCTAGAAAAAGGTACAACTTAGGCTAAATAAGTAGCTTACATGCCAAGATATATAGTAAAAACCTTTATTAGTCCAAAAGGCCTAGAGCTACTATTCACAGTGAAAGTGGCACAAATAGGAACAGAGTATATATGTTAGGTATAGGGAAACACCATAGGGATCAGACAGGCATTTCCCTATAGAGGGATATCTTGCTATTAAGCAGAATCAATAAGTGGTGATAAAGAAAAGGGGAAAGTGGTCTAAATTCCTACATTCAGAGGAGGAGTAGGAGAAAAAAAAAACCCTAGATGTCTACTAATTGAAGATTAATCAGGATCAAAGCAGAAGGGAGGTATCTCCAGGCTATTGTAGCAACCACTATTCCATTCCCACCATACCCCACAGCCAGTAAACTAGCATCTGTCCCTAATACCTCAGCACCGCACAAAGCTAGTGCCTACCTGAACACACACACACACACACACACACATATATAATATATATATATATATATATACATATATATACACACACATATATACACACACACACACACACACACACACACACACATATGTGTGTAACTCCAACACAAAATAAAAAAAAGGTTCTACCTAACAAGTGCAAAAGTGCATATTAAAATAAATAAAACCGAGCCCGATGTGCATTTCAGTGTATTATAACGCCGTCGTCAGGGGCAGAGTGAGCACTCTCCTTACAGGATCTGCTTAAATACCCAAGGGTTCATTGACCCTACTTAGGATCAGCCGTTTAGTGGGGGTGTCTCATCCAATGTGAAAAGTTAAATATACAGGGAGACTCCCACATGGATATAGCCTTAATTGGTTAGGGAATAGCACCAATAAGCCAATCATATGTGGTGCTCATGTTACCATATGTCAGTCAAACACTCACTGCCCTAACTAAATGCTTAATTGTAAATGACAGCTCAGCTATTAAGGAAAAAAGTAAATAGCTGACAAGCTAGAGATACTCAGTTACATGTTGCATCTAGGATGGTGTATTTAACACCTTACCCGCTCAATTGAGGATATAATCCACAATTTTATGTTTATCATATTGAAAAGGTGAATATAAGTAGTGACAATATAATCACACATATATAGATATTCTGATATTGCTGTTCATCAGATCCTGCCAAGTCATCCTTCACAATTTTAATTCTAGATGTAATGACTATATTGGCATTTAAGGTACAGCAACATCGGGATACACCTATAAAAGTTCTCTAGCGAAAGGTATCATCACAAGCGTGAGAATCACTAGAGGCTAGTATAGGCAATGTGATCCATATTAGTTGTATGGGTATCTAAGAAGTTTATATCTAAAGTGAGACAGAGAGAGCAAGTGACAAAAACCCCAAAAGACACCCCAAAAAAATTATATATTTTTTTTTATCTATCTATCTCTATCTCCCCCCCCCCCAAGAGGGCTGCATTATTTGATCATATATTGCATAAGCCTGCCACAACGTCAATGTACCCCATTCTTGGCAGGTCCTACTCTAGCAGCCTAATGCTTGCTCTTATGAGATTAATCAACTTACTTGGGAAATACTACCTTACTGGGACTCTCTGCAAGTCAAGGCTAAATAGGGTCCTGAAATGAGGCACCTATGACAGGGAGGGGTGCAAAACCAAGGAGTTGGCCTGGACTCCCAAATATATTAATGAAACCAAGAGGGCTGCACTCACCTGAACATGCATACATTATAGGGTGCTGCTGGGGCCAAAATATACAAAATACAGAATCCAGTGCACTCGCTTATTCACTAAACAATTATTTCGAATCTTAGAGATTCGAAATCATTGTTTCGTGAATAAGCAAGTGTGCTGATTATAGAGAGAGAGAGATATATAGATATATATATATATATATATATATATATATATATATATATATATATTTTTTTTTTTTTTTTTTTTAATACAATGCTAAACAAAAATCTGCACATCAGTCAAGCCATAAGACTTGCTTTTCCCACAGAAATCCCAAATCAGCAGTGATGTTACAACCGCAAAGGATTCTGGGTGGGCATATGCAAATTAGTTTAACAAAGAATCACAACCTCATGCTGAAGAGTTGCATTAACAACGAAACAGCTGTCCATGAGTGGTTCACTGGTTTTGCATCTTATCCTAAATTGTGTTCCAAGCAGTTGTATACTGCAAACACAAATTAAAAGGAATCCATGTTTAAAATGGAATGAGGCAAAAATGTGATTTTTTGTTAAACTAATTTGCATATGCCCACCCAGAATCCTTTGCGGTTGTAACATCACTGCTGATTTGGAATTTCTGTGGGAAAAGCAAGTCTTATGGCTTGACTGGTGTGCAGATTTTTGTTTAGCATTGTATTAACTATCCACATACTTCAGGTGGAAGGGGTTTTCAATCACAATTTTTCCCCACCATAATCTATTTGGATCTTGCTATATATATATATATTATATTTCGTTCTACGTGTATTTTGAGATATATATATATATATATATATATATATATATATATATATATATATATATATATATATATATATATATATATATATATATATATATATAAAATTTAAATTTATTTATTATTCATGATCAGTCACATTTTCAAAACCAATGCCAAAATTTCACAAATTTCTGCCAGGGTATGCAAACGTTTGAGCACAACTGTTTATAAAATGTATCACACAATACAATTTTTATTGCTTCTTGATACTACATCTGTGTGGTGTGATTTCATTTTGTATTCCCAAGGCTGAAGAGAGATAATGGAAAGCAGAAACATCTTTTTAAATCCATGGCAGCATAAGGGTTGCTAGACCCTGTGGTGAACTCTCAATCCCAACAGTCAGAATATAGAAACTAAACATGACCAGAGAGCAATGCTGCAAACCTCATCTAACATAAAAAAAAAGAAAATCTTCATATCTACCTACAGCTAGCACAAAGTACACATGAAATATTAAACTGCACTGGATACATTTGAGCAGGGAGATTGCAGGGGCATGCCTTATCCACCAAAACCACTTAATCTAAAGTTGTTTTGGTGCTTAAGGTGTCCCTTTAAAGTGAACTGTCCCTTTCAAAGAAGAAACAATTCCTTGTACTTCTTCTCTGTAAACGTTGGTTCAGTGTTGACTGGCAAAATGTGCTTGTTAAAAGAATTTTTTTTTTTTAAACTTTGCACAACTAATATCTATTTTTTAGTTCACAGTTTGGATGGTATAAAATTGGGGAAGTGGCAACTCCTCTTAAGTATATGTATATACCCAACCGCTTCTATTAACTAGAAGTTAGACATTGAGGGCCTGACATTTTACACTACATAGCACATATTTACTGCTAGACACTTATTTTTCAAAACAACAACCCTCACTTAACAATGGGAGGGCTAAACTGAGCAAAAGCAAAAAGCAATATCTTGATCGCTAAATACATTACTACAAAAGGAGCATTTACACAATGTATTATTTTGCCTTTAGACCTAAATATTTGTAATTTTTCACAAAGAGGATTACTTACAGAGCACACAAATGATTTCAGCAAGTATTTGCATAGCAGGCAAAGAGAAGCAGGTTTGGAAAACATCTTGACATCCGGAGTACCCTGTACTCAGGAAAAGAAAAGGGAGGGGGAAAAAAAAAAAAACTAAAATACAGACTTTAATAGATGCAAGAGCATAATCTTGTGGTAGGTTTTTAAATGACATCTCTTGGTGGAATGCTACTGATTTTGTCAGGATAAAAAGGGTCACATTTTGTCTAGAATGACAGTGTAAGTGATGCAAGTGTGTTTACCATTTGAGCAATAGCATTTTTAACCTGAGATTGGTCAGCGATACCTCTTAATATTTTATAAGCTGCAGCTCAAATAGAAGCACTGTTGATTAATGGGTGCGTTGTATTTCAGGAGTCACTTGGAGTAATATTTTGGAGAATAGAAAAGGACATAATGGCGAAATATGAGTAAAGGCTTGAATTGGGAGGTTTGTTTGATTAAAACAAGGGTCTGCACAGATTTATCTGAATAGTCTAGGAAAGGATAAATTGTAGAGATCCTGACCTATGCTCAGGTTGTGTGATTTATCCATATTGGAGGATAGAGAAATGGAATAAGTGAATCGAATATGTAGGCACTTTCTAAATCATTTCTAGGCATGTACAACCAGCTACAATAAAAAGTTTCGTACAAATACCCAACAGGGAGAAGGAGTTTTGGAATGGATGTTTAAGGACAGGGGAGCAGCAAGGACAGAGTGTAAAGTGGAGAAATCTGAACCAGAGACGCTATTTCATGGTCTCACACATATACAATTCTCTCAAATTCTTTTAGACAAAACATTTGGAGGAGATTTCTCTGACACTTTAAAGTACCACTAAAGTGCCAGGAAAACATACTCGTTTTCCTGGCACTATAGTACCCTGAGTGTGCCCCCACCCTCAGGGTGCCCCTCCTGCCGGGCTCTAGGTGGTGGAAGGGGTTAAACTTACCTCTTTCTCCAGCGCTGGTCGGGGAGCTCTCCTCCGCCTCGGCTGAATGCGCATGTGCGGCAGGAGCCGCGCGCGTATTCAGCCAGTCCACAGGAAAGCAAGCATTCACGATGTACATACATCCTTTTTTATTATTTGTTTATTAATAAAGGGCAGATATTTTTACAATATTCTTTTTGGAGGTTTTGGTGTACTTATGTGATTTCTTTCCACATGTTTAATGAGAAGCTCCTGTCTTGTCTTCCACAGAAAGCAATGGAGTTTAAGGAAGAGATGTAGAGCTATACTTTTGCAGAAGAGTGACAGACTATGGGATAAAGCAAAGAATCTCTCTTTAGTTTAGTATTATTCCCAGAAACACTCCCTTGATGTAATATAAACAAAAACAAAAAAATGATAAAATTCACAATCAGGGTTCTTCTTGCTGGGTCGGAAATTTTAATTTTTTCTTAATTGTCAATTCAATATTTAGTGAATAAACCCCTTTGGTGTTACAGTGAGGGAAAAAAGTTTTTGACTCCCTGCTGATTTTGAACGTTTGTCCACGGACAAAGAGATGATCAGTCTATAATTTTAATAGTAGGTGTATTTTAACAGTGAGAGACAGAATAACAAAAACAAAAAACAGAAAAATGCATGTCAAAAAATTTATACATTGATTTTCATGTCAATGAGTGAAGTAAGTATTTGATCCTCTATCAAATCAGAAAGATTTCTTACTCCCGGGTGTCTCTTATACAGGTAACGAGCTGAGATAAGGAGCACTCTCTTAAAGGGAGTGCTCCTAATCTCAGCTTGTTACCTGTATAAAATACACCTGTCCACAGAACCAAATCAGATTCTAAACTCTCCACCATGACCAAGACCAAAGAGCTGTCCAAGGATGTCAGGGACAAGATTGTAGACCTACACAAGGCTAGAATGGGCTACAAGACTATCACCAAGCAGCTTCGTGAGAATGTGACAACAGTTGGTGGGATTATTCGCAAATGGAAGAAAGACAAAAAACCTTTCAGTCTCCCTCCGTCTGGTGCTCCATGCAAGATCTCACCTCGTGGAGTTTCAATGATCATGAGAACATTGAGGAATCAGCCCAGAACTACAGGGGGGGGGGGATTTTCTAATGATTTCAAGATCACCAAGAAAACAATAACACTACGCCGTGAAGGATTGAAATTCTGCAGTGTCCGCAAGGTCCCCCCTGCTCAAGAAAGCCCATTTGAAGTTTGCCAATGAACATCTGAATGATTCAGAGGAGAACTAGTGTTGTGGTCAGATGCGACGAAAAAAAAAATAAAAAAAAAAATTCAAGATCTTTAGCCAACTCAACTCGCTGTGTTTGGAGTAAGAGGAATGCTGCTTATGACCCCAAGAACATCATTCCCACTGCCAAACATGGAGGTGGAAACATGCTTTGGGGGGTGTTTTTCTGCTAAGGGGACAGGACAACTGCACTGCATCAAAGGGACAATGGACGGGGCCATGTACCGTCAAATCTTGGGTGAGAACCTCCTTGATTCAGCCAGGGCATTGAAAATGGGTTGTGGATGGGAATTATAGAATGACAACGACCCTAAACACACAGCCAAGGCAACAAAGGAGTGGCACAAGAAGAAAAACATTAAGGTCTTGGAGTGGCCTAGCCAGTCTCACGACTGTAATCCTATAAAAAAATCTGTGGAGGGAGCTGCCAAACTTCAGCCTCGAATCCTTAATGACTTGGAGAGGATCTGCAAAGAGGAGTGGGACAAAATCCCTTCTGAGATGTGTGCAAACCTGGTGCCCAACTACAAGAAACGTCTGACCCATGTGATTGCCAACAAGGGTTTTTACCACCATGTACTAAGTCGAAGGGGTCAAATACTTATTTCACTCATCATGCAAATCAATTTATAACTTTTTTGACATGCATTTTTCAGGATTTTTTTTGTTGTTGTTCTATCTCTCACTGTTAAAAAATAAAATAAAATAAAAAAATACACCTACCATTAAAATTATAGACCGATCATTTCTTTCTCACTGGGCAAATGTTCAAAATCAGCAGGGGATCAAATACTTTACCCCCTCACTGTAAATAAATGCCAATGCCGTCTCAGAATAATACCTTGTATTCATTTTCAGGGTTATTGTCATTCCCATTGCAGCCAAGACGCAAATTATTTTAACAATCAAATATTTAAAAAGGTGGAAAAAAAAAAAGGCTTCAATTGCAGAGTGACTGACATGTGCGTATTCTGAAAAGAATACATACATGTCCCTTCAATTCAGGCATTAACTATTTATTGATAATAATTAGAGCAGAATACTGACCTCCATCAGATAGCAATATAGGAAAGGGCCCTGGGATAAAATGAGATTAGTGCAGATGCAGCTGGCCACAATCTGCTGAACAGCACGCAACAGCTTTTTGGCCTGTTCCAGACCAAAATACAGCGTGTCCAGGTTGCTCCTGGAATAAAGACGACATGCAATTATAAAAACGTAGTTGTCTGTAACTTTGCTTGGAGAAGAAGAAAAAAACAAACCAAAAAACATGTACACACATGTCCAATAAAAACAAAACCATAACCAGATTTTCTTCAGGATCAGAGTAAAGCAAGGGCATGATTCCTTCAGTTTCTTGGCAACATAGATGAACTTAAAATGACACTCCACTGCCCAAATACAATATAAATAAAACTCAGTTGGGTAGATATACCCAAAACTTTAAACTTGCGTGTATTTAACTATGCTTTTTTTCCCCATTAGTTAAACCTAAAAACAGTTTGCAAAACCTGCAGTTCTCTTCATAGCTTTCTTTGCAAACCCTCCCCTTCTAACCCCGCCCAGACTTTCTGTGGCTATCCAATCACAGAGTTCCCCATGCAGCTCAATGAGAAGTCTTTGCAAGTGCTCTAAGTAATTGCTGCCTTTTGAGTTTCACTCCACTGAGCTAACTAAACCAGGAAGTAAAAGGACCTGCTGGATGCTTGACAGACCAGGAGGTGTAACCAGACTCTTTTACAAAAAAAGTGTCAATTTCTATTGAAATCAGGACTATTTCCAAAATGGAAAAAAGGGGACTCACTTCACACATAAAGCTTTTCAGCAAGCTAAAGTGATTTACGGGTTGAGTGTCCCTTTAAGGGTAATTGCTTTATTTATTTATTTTTAATACAAATCAACTGTTTCTTGATGCAAAACTGTGCCCTGCTTCTTGAGGGAAAAGATTGCCAAATAAATAAAAGGATCTTTAATTTAAGTACCTGGATAGGCTGTCTAAAGCCTTGATGAAGTTGTCTGTTCCATTCTCATCTCGTTCTGTATTCTCTAGGAGAGACATTACCGCTAATACAATGTCATTTGCTAGGAACTTATTCTTGAATCCAAACTGTACACTGAATGTCTGTACTCTTACATCTTTCATTCTGTTTAAGACATAATAGTAAATGTGACTGAGAACTCTGTAAAGGACAATTTGGAAGCATTGATGCCTTGACAGATAACATTGTTACTCCTATGCCTGTCTGTAGATAGATATATATATTTATTCTTTATTTTTGCAGTGCGTATAGTTTAAAGGGAAACTCCAGTGCCAGGAAAACAATCTGTTTTCCTGGCACTGCAGGTTCCCTCTCCCTCCCACCCCCCAATCCCCGGTTGCTGAAGGGGTGAAAACCCCTTCAGTAACTTACCTGAGGCAGCGACGATGCTCCTCGTCGCTGCTTCCTCCTCCGCGTCGCTCCTCCTGACTGCGGCGGCCAGTGGGCGAGACAGCCGCGCATGCGCATTCGTGCTCCCCATAGGAAAGCATTGAAAATGCATTACAATGCTTTCCTATGGGGAAAATGAGCAACGCTGGAGGTCCGCACACACTACTCCTCGTTAATTGACTACAAACTACCATAGATTACCTCACATCACTCTAGTTACCCTGTTGTCAGTGTGCATAAACTGTTTATTTTCATGCATGCTAATATTAAACCGCTGACATATCTACTTACACTTGTTTATATTATCCTATAAAATTGTGATTGTCCTATTACCCTAAATGTAATACACGATGCTACGCCTGAGGAATGCCACTGGGGTACCTCAAGCCTGTATGTAATATTCTTATGCACTGCAAAAAAAATTAAATAAAAAAAAAAGACAAGCTATGGTTCATATAGCTATGCTATACATTTTCACAAATAGAAAAACAAAAAAAACAATATTCACATTAATTTACAGAAACACAAACATGTATTTCGTATTCTATAGTGTTAAAAAACACGATCTAGCCCTCTCGGTCCCCCTAAATATAGTAAAATCTTACTTTTATTCCAGTCTGCTATGCCTCCGATCTTCCTGCCTGCTGCCTGACTGAAACCATTAAAAGTATTGATCAAAGCCAATTGCAATGCTTTGAAGCCAATTGAAAGCATTGGCTTGGCTGAGCTTGTCAAGGTGGCATATCAGGAGCGGAGCCAGCACAATCCAAACACAGCCCTGGCCAATCAGCACCTCCTCATAGAGATGCATTGAATCAGTGCAACTACAAGGAAAATTCAGTGTCTCCACACAGAGGGTGGAGACACTGAATACTAGTACTTCCCCAGGAAGGACCTCTAGTAGCCATATTAGTGGCCACCAGTGGAGGTATCCCTAGGCTGTAATGTAAACACTGCATTTTCTATGAAAATAGTGTTTACGGCAAAAAGCATTAATGGACTGATTCTACTTACAAGAACAAATATAATAAGCTGTAGTTGTTCTGGTGACTATAGCGTTCCTTTAATGTAAAGCTATACTTCCAGGGTTTACTTACCCAAATTTATTAGCAGACTCCTCTATCATTTCCCGAAGATTTTCCTTTAATGATACATCCATTGAATGAAACTTCTGCTTCACTTGTTTCAAAGGTAGCCTGGGGAAAACAACAACAACTTTACTAGAATTCGTTTTGTTTTATTATCATTTCACAAGCCCCAAGTGGAGAACACTTACCCCATGTCAGCAAGAAATTCTTGAAGCTTTTTTTGCCCTTGCACAGACCATAGTTTAAGACTGGCAGATGTATAGCAGGAGTTGCAAATACTTTCATACAATGACCAATGCTGATACAACGAAAGACGTAGACTAAACCATTTAGTTAAGGTAGTCATTTTAGTGAGAACAGAAAAAGTTAACAACCTCTCATGTAAACGAATATTCATGTTCAGATTTAGTTTTTCACATTAACAGATACACAAAGCATAATAAAAATTGACTGCATAGGTTATGAAGGAGGTCCTGTGTCCCTGTACAGAGCTGCTTTTAACTGCAGCATTATGCAGTAAAAGGTTGCTGCTGTGCCCACTAAGAAAGCAGTGTTAATTTAATTGACAAAATGTTTTCGCCATAGTTTTTGTCAACACCATGTTTTCAGTGATAAAAAAATACAATAACAAAATAAAAATAAAGTGATCATGACAAAAACTATAAGAAAAAAAATGATTGAATCAAAATCTGCTGTCAAGATTAACACAGATTATTTCAAGAATAAGTGCTACTCTAAAATATTAATTAAAAGAAAAACTGTATTGGCTATAAAATTACCTGAACCTGAATATAGAAAATTCAACAGTTCTCTGTTAAAGGAACATGCATCCCTTGTTAAACAATGGTCTCATTCAGATTCAAGCAAAAGGATACTCATATTCAAAGGCAATCCTCATGCAGTCAATCGAGAGGGAGTTCTCCTCATCCTCATTGCGGTGGTTGTGCCGGGATACATGACGTTGTAAAGTCCCCACATCTGTCACATATTTCATTCTGCAAAACAAACATTTGCATCCAAACTCTGCCAATTTTGAAAAAAATTATTTGTGTTTGGAACATTAACCCCTTAAGGACGGAGCCAAATGTACACGTTGTGAACGAAACAAAATGTAAACAAAACCTGGCATTTGCACTACATGTCTGTCCAACCGTAATTCAACTCTTTCATAGTAAATGCACCCACCCTTATTATATATCATTTTATTCAGGGGAAAACATGGGTTTCATTTAATATCAAATATTTAGCTATGAAACATAATTTAATATGAAAAAAAATGGGAGAAAATTAGATTTTTTAAGTTCTACATGACTTTTTTTTAAATTTGACAATTTTTATTGTTTTGTACGGGTAAGGGTACAGAAAGGAAGAGGGAGGGAGGGCAGGGGGGGAAGGGTGAACAGATTTCATCAATGCATGTTAACAACTCTCATACAGTTGGCCATGAATAGTCAGGTAACGTATACCGCTCGTAGTCAACTAGCGACCAGAAACAGCGTCTTGCACCTGCTGTGTGTCAGAATGGAAGGTTATGCTCACGACACGATCCCGTATGGGAACTAACATAATAGGTCCAATCCTCGCTCTCTCTAGTCCCACACATCTGTGCGCTGCTTCCCACTGATGCGTGAGGCGCATCTACTCTTATGCATCTTGTACATACAGTATCATTGGTAAGTTACATTTACCTTCCTCTATCACCCGATCTCCATGAGTTCCACACCTCCCACGCTGCTTGGGCGGTGTTGGATGGGGGGAACAGCGTTTTTAAGCCCGTTTCAAACTAACTTTGTGTGTCCAGGTCCTCAATGACCCGCTGCATACCAGGACAGTGCCCTCGGCCCCATTGCAGCGCCAGCACATGTTGGAAGTATTAGGGAATAGTTTGTGTAGCCTGCACGGTACCATGTACCATCTATAAAGTGTTTTGTGAATTTGCTCTAGATGTGCGGACGATTTGATCAGGAGCCGGGGCTCTACATGACATTTTAACTGTCAATGTCATAATACAGTTTGCTTTTACTGCAATAAAATACACATTTTTATTCAGCAAAGTCTCACGTGTAAAACAGTACCCCCTATGTACAGATTTTATAGTTCTAAAACCACCATTTAGGTGGTTGGCACCCCTTAACTCAGGTTAGAACCGTGATTTACTTAGTCTTTTCCAGGGCACTGTGGGGCTCCAATGCCGCACCTCTAGTGGTCGTCTGAGGAGTGGCCACTCCTAGGCTGTAATGTAAACACTGCAGTGTTTACATTAAGGACGGAGCCAAATGTACACGTTGTGAACAAAACAAAATGTAAACAAAACCTGGCATTTGCGCTACATGTCTGTCCAACCATAATTCACCTCTTTCATAGTAAATGCATGTAAAGCATCCTTCTATTCGTGCAGCAATGATCCTTGCAGCTTCTCCCGAAATCCAGCTGAAACAAAGTGATTATAACTCCCAATCCCCCAAACATGAGTCGAGACTTCAAGAAGGGGTAAAACGATCTGATCTACTGTGAGCTACCCGCCCGGTATTTATGCAGGTCTCCCACCTGGTGGACACTCCCCTAGGGGACCAGATGGAAGACTGGGACAAAAGTATCACAGTAATTAACTTAAGGTAGCAAAGAGAGCCTTAATTATCTCCAGGTAGAAAGAAACATGGCTTTACTTATTTTAGCGAAACAGCATAAGAATCTATAACTTTCCTTTTACATAAACTTTAAGTCCCACATATCCCCAGATAGCTTGGATCTGAGTGCATATTCTAGGTGAATAGCGCTCAGATCCCACGAACACAGTTCTCAGAAACGTCGACTGAAGTTTGACTTTCGCCGGCCGTTCGTGTGTTTGTAGCCGACTACAAGTTCCATACTGTAGCTTTCTGGGGTCGGTCACTTTCGCATACTTCCAGCGCACGAATGAAGTAGTATCCCCTTCATTCGTGTGTTTTTCCACCGTACAAACGAGGATTTGAAGAGGTAGCAGCGGTGTTCGACAAAATAAGTAGCCGAAATTAGTTCCAGGGAATCCTCGCCATTTACCGCTGAGCGTTCGACAATACAAAATGGCGATTGCCACGTGTTCGGTAAACGAACGCGGACCACCAGCTATTCCCCAATTAGTCTGTGGTTAACCGCAACAGTCTGGGTGGTTAATAGGCGCCACACGCCCTCGGTGGGAGGTCGGTGGTTCGGTAGTTCATTCGCTTTTCTCGCTATTTTCACGAAATCCCGCAGTAATCATCCAAATAACCGAACAGGCTGGTTCGCATGGTCTGTTTAGTAAGGGATTTTGTTACAATGCACCCACCCTTATTATATATCATTTTATTCAGGGGAAACAGGGCTTTCGTTCAATATCAAATATTTAGCTATGAAACATAATTTAATATGAAAAAAAATGGGAGAAAAGATTTTTTTTAAAAATTCTTTTAGTTCTACATGACATTTTAACTGTCAATGTCATAATACTGTTTGCTTTTACTGCAATAAAATACACATTTGTATTCAGCAAAGTCTCACATGTAAGACAGTACCTCCTATGTACAGGTTTTATGGCGTTTTGGGAAGTTACAGTGTCAAATATAGCACGTTACATTTGAAGTTGAAATTCGCCAGATTGGTTACGTTGCCTTTGAGACTGTATAGTAGCCAGGAATAAAATGTGCAGGCAACCAACATTCTAAGTATGGTTCTGCACATTAGCACTATATAGTTAAATTTTTCTAACCTCCTTTCCAGTCCTATACCTTCTTATTTAGGAATATCTGAAGGGGATGCATTAGCAATAAGAAGTTTTTTCTATATATCTTCATTACTAGTCCCTTCATTTGTTACTATTTCACACACTGATATTGTCTGTGACCTGTCTAGTTACTGTTTCTGTACAGTATTTATTTTACTACAGTGTTATTACATTGTTACTCAATATCTAGTGGATAGACACAATTCAGAGATCGTCCTTCTCATATAGGTAGCTCATTGTTATTACAGAGCTACTGTGACAAGTGATTGATCTATTAGGTATAAGGTCTTCTTTGGCCATTAGGACTGGCATCCGTGATCTGATTGATACAGTTTAATTACTATATACAGACGTTGACCTATCTTATAAATAATAAAGTCAGGTGTCTGTTTTCTATTATATTCACGGTTTAGTGACCTAGGAGGATAGCCTATAGGCTTCATTTGTATTATTTCACTTCTGGATTGTTTTGACGCTTGGGATGGATATATGCCATGTACTTTAGTAATTTTTTACAAGTTTACAGATCGAACTTTTGCCATCACAGTTCCAGTTTATACTCGAATCTCTGGATCTTTGTATCCAGTAACTTGAGTTTTCTTTATATAGTTTTAGGGGTTAAGCCCCAGGACACCTCTGGAGTGTCCGTTAAGGTGTTTTGATTCCACGGGTTGTTTGGTTCCCCTTTTTGAGGATGAACCACCACCTGTGGAATCTATTATTTAAGAAGTGAGATAGACCTCAAGATATAGTGATTTGGGTGCTTCTAGTGTCCCTTTAAGTGAGACAGGGTGAACTTGAACCTCCTATGATTGGGTCTGGTACAAGTTCCCCATATATAAAAATATTCTGGAACAATATGCAGGGGACAACAAAAGAGGGGACCAACTTGTGTTTTCTAGGCTACTTGACCAGCACACAAGTTAGGGCAACTACTCATTGCTTGGTACTACTACTACACATCTAGGGGATTATCACTTTATACAAACAAAATGGTTAATTAGCAGATTTTTGCTTTGATTCCCTTTAAGACTGAGCATAAATGGAATATAAAAGCTGAAAACAGGAGGCGGAGCCAAGCAACTGACCTGAGTGGACGCACGATCGCTGTGCTCCGGGCCAAGATAACCAAATCCGGCGATAAACTATTTTCAAGCCTCCTTAACGAAGTTCCACAGCCCCTGACAAACATGGGTAGGAAGACTAAAAAGTAGAGACTCAACAGACCCAAACCAGGCATGAATATTGTCGATCTCCGCCAAGCATGGGCCCAAGATGGCCGCAGACCTGGATTACTTTTCAGAAAACTCGGAGGAGCTGTCCTTGGACGATGAAGATGGCAGCCATGTACTGGCATTACAACCTCCACCTAAGCCCAAGACCGGAGACTCTAGATCGGTGACTGCAGATATGCTCCAGAACATGCTAGGTGCCCTCCAGAAAACCATACAGGCGGATGTGGCCCTGCTGTGCACTGACATCACGGGCCTGGTAGACCGCATTGCCACAGTGTAAATTGTCTCAGAGCAGCACACCCAATCTATAGCGCAACTCCAGCGGGACATCCAAACATTAACCAAAAAACAAGCTGCCTCCGACATTCAATTCGCCCAGCTAGAAGACACGCGACGCCGCACCAACTTGAAAATCCGGATAGGTGTACCCGAAGCAGAGCTCCCACATCTACTCCGGAGACTACTAGGCCAACTACTGGAGCTCAAGCCGTCCAGAACTGTACACCTGGACAGCGCCTTCCGGGTGCCGAAACCTAGGGGAGAACCCGACAGCGCAAAGGGACCTGATAGTGAAGTTCCGCAGTGGAGCAGACAAGACATTGGTTCAGACTGCACTGAAGGGGACTACCACACAACTTTAAGAACATGGCATTATCCTTCTTCGTAGACTTATCCGGTGAGACACTACACTGGCGCAGAATGATGAAACCCCTCACAGCCCTGCTCCGCAACCATGGCATAGAATACCGCTGGAGATCCCCACGCACACTGCAAGTAAGACAGGGTGGTAAACACAACCTCGGACATTTCCGAAGCCCCACACTCCTAACCAAACAAGGCCTTCCAGGGGACGTCCTACTCCAGCCCAGCACCCAACCGACGACACCGGCGGCCCACCACTGTGACATGGCAAAGATAAAGCCATTCACCCCGAAGAGAGCTATACCAGCAGCACCCGCCACTGCAAGTACCAACAGTGGACAGTAGAAGACCAGCACCTTCATCCCTAAATACACAGCACCCAAGTTGCGGTTCGAAGTTGGTCAGACTTCGCTCTACGAACCATTTTTATCCCTTCAATTAACAGGCCCACCGAGCCAAACCACAGGTCAGACCCGTAAAGGCCGTAGCCGGTCCTAAGCCAGAGCCTCATATCTCCCTCTCCTCCTACGCACCCCGACACCACAGACCACTTACCATAGAGTGACGGAGGTGTCAGCTTAGTACAAGCCACAACCAGCTGACTTATGTTTCATGGTTTAGGCTTAACATCAACAACCTCTAGTCAGCAGGATAACTTGCCCCTAACATATGCTTTGAGATTATTTTAATGTTTATCTCTTGTATAGCATTACTAAAATGTCTCTAGAAATTGCATTGTTTATGTACATGCGTATGTCACTTATAATGCTTGCTTCAAAAAAAGAAAAACAAAATGGGCATGTTTAATGAGTGCCACAACACTGGCATCATAACCGGTTTGATTTTTCACTGTTTGCACACAAAAATAAATTAAAAAAAAAAAAAAAGAAGCTGAAAACAAATAGCTCACATTTTTAGCATTACCTCATTTGCATTCACCTAGCACTCTCTCCTAAACGGGTTTTTAAAGTAGGCTCTTTATATCTAGCATACTTACTGAGTGATTTTGTCTTGAACCCACTGATCAGTCAGCCCTATAATTGACCACCTAGAGGAGATAAAAATATATATCGGTCATACTGCCTTGCCAGCTTAACTGAACCATACCAAATAACTAATTCAAATACAGAAGGCAAAAGTAAAAAATAAAAGCAGAAAAATCTTAAATCTGAAACAAAATAGTTATTTAAGAAACATAAGGAACACGATAGGCACCCAGGAAATTTTATCTCAATGAAATGGACTGGGTGCCATGTCCATGTAGTTTTAAATGAACACTACAGTTAGGAATACATATTTGTATTCCCAACGCTACAGCCCTGACGCCTCTTATCACCATGTGAAAATAAAACAAACAAATGACTTACCTTTTCCCAAGTGCAGAGTCTTCTTTGGCCCTGCCACATCCTCCTTAGGTAGCCTCATCCTGGGCCAAGCCAATGCTCATAGAGCATTCCTCCACAGAGTATCAATGTATTCAATTAATCTATATGGCAGACTGTTACTGCACTGTGCATGACATCACAGTATATTATGGTGTGAAAGCCAAGTAGTAAAATTATACAGTGAAATTGTTAAGTGCCTACAGTGTCCATTTAATCCTGCTAGTAAAATAATTGCCATTTTGCAGGAAAGGCAATGTTTACATTGCAGGCTTTGAATTCCTCTAGTTGCTGTCACTTTCGAGTGAAACTGCTATTTCAGTCGGATGTTCTCAGAGACCGATTGGGGCAGCATGGCATTTTGCCTCGCATGCGCACCAGCCTCCAATTGCTCTCCTATAGTCTTGATGATCCCAGCCTTGGAAGCAGGACAGCAACGCGGAGATCATCAATATGAGCTAGAAAGGGTAAGTGAAATGGCAAGGTGAGTAAGAGAGGGGGATAGGGAGGGTTGTTGTTTTCTGCCACTTACCACAACATGTCATTTGAATCCTTGGACATAATCCAGGCCAACTCAAACATCATCATTGCTGACTACAAGAATAAATAACAGATTTACACACAAAAAATTAAATAAAAAAATGATTTGTGTGTGTATATATATATATATATATATATATATATATATATATATATATATATAAAAATATTGCCAGAGATAGCACTCCAAGGACTAATATAAAATATAACTTTTATTACCTCCACTAAAACAACACAAGGTCAACGTTTCAGCTTGATCCCCTCAAGCTGGTGTCCTGATGAAAGCTTGAGGGGATCAAGTTGAAACGTTGACCTTGTGTTGTTTTAGTGGAGGCAATAAAGGTTATATTTTATATTAGTCCTTGGAGTGCTATCTCTGGCAATATTTTTGTATTTTTGGCTGACAAGCACCGGGCATTGAATATTGGATTGGTGGAGTGCAAAATATATTATAAAGAATTTTGCACTCCACCAATCCAATATCCAATATTCAATGCCCGGTGCTTGTCAGCCAAAAATACAAAAATATTGCCAGAGATAGCACTCCAAGGACTAATATAAAATATAACCTTTATTGCCTCCACTAAAACAACACAAGGTCAACGTTTCAACTTGATCCCCTCAAGCTTTCATCAGGACACCAGCTTGAGGGGATCAAGCTGAAACGTTGACCTTGTGTTGTTTTAGTGGAGGTAATAAAAGTTATATTTTATATTAGTCCTTGGAGTGCTATCTCTGGCAATATTTTTATATATATATACACACACACACACTTAAAAACAAAGTTTAAATAGAGTCACTTGAGATGGGACTTTAAGAAAAATGAAAAATAAAAAGTTGTTATTTACAAACCATGTTTTTTTCCACATTTGCAGAATATAATCCCTCTATTGACACTTTAAAATCTAGATTCTCCCAGACAATTGCAAATGCCATCATATGTGACTTGTTATATGGAAACCAATGTTTCAAATACAAAAATGTATTTCACCCATTTTATTCCATACCACCGCCACTGGCAGATATAATCATTACCAATGATCTCAGCCATTACAAAGCTTCTCCACAGAGATGCTTTAGGAGGCCTACTTTGCATGAACAGCAATTGCCGTTCTGCATAAATCAGATTATGCAGAGATGCATTACACTAAATAGGACATCTTCAGTGGCTGGAGGACAGAAAGCCACTAGAGGTGCATCTAGGAACAAATGTAAAGACTGCCTTTCACAGAAAATACAGTGTTTACAAATGAGAGACTGCAGGAACAGGCTCTTAGCACCAAAACCACTACTTTAAGTTTTATCCTGCAATACATGAACCAGTTTAGCAGCCCTTCTCTGAACTCTCTCTAAGGTATCAATATCCTTCTGAAGATACGGTCTCCAGTACTGTGTACAATACTCCAAGTGAGGTCTCACCAGTGTTCTGTACAATGGCATGAGCACTTCACTCTTTCTATTGCTAATACCTCTCCCTAAACAACCAAGCATTCTGCTAGCATTTCCTGCTGCTCTATTACATTGTCTGCCTACCTTTAAGTCATCAGAAATAATCACCCCTAAATCCCTTTCCTCAGATGTTGAGGTTAGTACTCTCAAATATTTTGTACTCTGTCCTTGGGTTTTTACATCCAAGATGCATTATCTTGCACTTATCCACATTAAATGTCAGTTGCCACAACTCTGACCATTTTTCTAGTTTATCTAAATCATTTGCCATTTGGCTTATCCCTCCTGGAATATCAACCCTGTTACATATCTTAGTATCATCAGCAAAAAGACATACCTTACCATCAAGACCTTCTGCAATATCACTAATAAAAATATTAAAGAGAATGGGTCCAAGTACAGATCCCTGAGATACCCCACTGGTGACAAGCCTAAGCTTCGAATATACTCCAGTGACTACAACCCTCTGTTGCCTGTCACTCAGCCACTGCCTTACCCATTCAACAATATTGGAATCCAAACTTAAAGATTGCAGTTTATTGTTAAGCCTTCTATGTGCAACAGTGTCAAAAACCTTACTGAAATCTAGGTAAGCAATGTCTACTGCACCACCCTGATCTATTATTTTAGTTACCCAATCAGAAAAATCAATAAAATTAGTTTGGCATGATCTCCCTGAAGTAAACCCATGTTGTCTCTGATCTTGAAATCCATGTGTTTTTAGATGTTCAACAATCCTATCCTTTAACATGGTTTCCATCACTTTCCCCACTACTGAAGTAAGGCTTACTGGCCTATAGTTGTCCGACTCCTCCCTATTACCTTTCTTGTGAATGTCACAACATTCGCTAACTTCCAATCTTCTGGGACTACTCCTGTTAACAATGATTGGTTAAATAAATCTGTTAATGGTTTTGCTAGTACACCACTAAGCTCTTTTAATAGCTTTGGGTGTATTCCATCAGGTCCCATTGACTTATTTGTCTTTATGTTTGACAGTTGAAATAGAACCTCTTCCTCTGTAAACTCACGTGTAATAAATGACTCATTTATCCTTTTTCTTAACTAAGGTCCCTTTCCTTCATTTTCATCTGTAAATACCGAACAAAAATATTCATTGAGGCAGTCAGCTAGACCTTTATCCTCTTCTACATACCTTCCTTTTTTTGTTTTTAATCTAACTAATCCTTGTTTTACTTTCCTTTTCTCATTTATGTATCTAAAAAATGTGCTATTTTCTCTTCTGTCTGTGATTTGGAAGCTCTTATAACTTGCTTAGCCTCTTTCTGCCTAATCTTATAGATCATTCTGTCTTCCTCACTCTGTTTTTTTTTTATAATTACTAAATGCTAACGTTTTGGTTTTTACTATTTTGGCCACATCTGCGGAGTACCACAGTGGTTTCTTGAATTTTTTTGCTTTTACTGACAAGCCTAATGCAATTTTCTGTTGCTTTCAGTAGTGCAACTTTTAAATAATCCCATTTCTCTTGGACTCCATTTAAATTGATCCAGGCTGATAATGACTCGTCTACACATATTCTAATTTTAGAAAAAAGTCTGTTTTTCTAAAGTCTAAAACTTTTGTTTTTGTGTGGTGTGACTCAGTCACTGTTCTTATATTAAACCACACTGACTGATGATCACTGGATCCTAAACTTTCACCTACAGTAATATCTGATACCAAATCTCCATTTGTTAACACTAAATCTAGTATGGCCTCTTTACCAGTTGGCTCCTCAACGACTTGTTTTAGAGACAATCCCAGTAGGGAGTTTAGAATATGTGTGCTCCTGGCACAAGCAGCTATTTTTGTTTTCCAATTCACATCAGGAAGATTAAAGTCACCCATGATGATAACTTCCCCTTCATTGTCATTTTAGCTATTTCCTCAACTAGTAGATTATCTAACTCTTCAATTTGTCCTGGGGGCCTATAAATCACACCTACACAAGTTACTGTGTGATTACCAAATTCTAACGTAACCGAAACGGACTCTATGTTCGCCTCACTAACTTTTATTAGGCTAGAATTTATGCTATCCTTCACATACAGGGCCACCCCTCCCCCTTTCTTGCCTTCCCTGTTTTTTCTATACAGGGTATGACTACAGTGCCTTATTTATGTGGACTGTCTGCATATGCGGTACTGTATGCATGGAGGTTTACTGTGCATTTGTACCATCTTCCTATCCTTGTCACTAGGACTATAATGGAAGTGTCATCACCCATTCAGATAGAGTGAGCCATAGCAAAGCTGTTTAAATTAAGTGCAGTGGATCTGGATCTGATACCTCCAGGAACCACAAAGCTGCTGCCTGACATCTCTACAGCATGGGTAAGAATTAATCCCACACCTAGGCTAGCTCATATGGGCACAATTTTTAGTTACTGAAATTGTAGCGGTGCATCATTATTTTGCTTAACACTGCCGTCTCCACGACCATTAAAGGGACACCATAGCCACCAAAACAACTTTAGTTTAATGAAGCAGTTTTTGTGTATAGAACATGCCTCTGAAGTTGCACTGCTCAATTCACTACCATATAGGAGTTAAATCACTTTTGTTTCTGCTAATGCAGCCAATCCACATGTCCTCTGGCTGTAACAAAAAGTCTGCATGAAAAAAAAAAAAAAAATGGTTTAACTTTTAAACAGATGAAACTTTTTAACATAAGTTTTTTTTTATATCCTGCACTCTAATTTGTCATCATACAGGATGATCCTGCAAGGTCTATCAAGCTATTAAAGATGAGATAAGAAATTCAAAGTTAAATAGAATTTACAATACAGGAAGTGCCAACATTACACGACTCCTTACAGGAAGTGTTTAAGAAGGCTGTGTAAATCACATGCAGGAATATATGCCCAAGACTGCATAAACAAGGCGATTTAGCTCCTAAATAACAGATAATTGAGCAGTGAGACTGATCTATACACCAAAACTGCTTCACTAAGCTAAAGTTGTTTTGGGGACTAGTGTAACTTTAACTATTAATTTATAAGCCAGCAAGTTACAGGAAAGTCAACCCAAGCAAAACACTGTCTTCACACTTACAGATGTGCCATGATATTCATATTGTTCATAGTCAAACAGAATCTCTCGCCTGTTGGGAAACAACAGCATATTATAGTTAGAGAAAAATGTAGACAAACAAAATCCTAAACTGAAAGACTTGAGAAAGAAATTACTTTTTACATAACACAACCCAGACTTTAAAGAAAACATGTCAATTCTAATGCAGAATAACCTATTTTGATCACCTCAGAATAGAAACATGATTTAGACATGTTCTATATTGAAAATAAGAATAGACAAAATTATGCACACCATATATTATTGCTAAATACAACAAGTAATCTTTTTTATTTAAAGAGACAGCACAGTACAAAAAAACAAAAAAATAATATATATAAAAATGTGACACAGTGATGCAGTTATGGTGCATGGAGTCTATAAGTGCAATGCTTCAGTAAACATTGCACATACAGAGTTCAAGAACATTCCTGGAGCGAGAGTTCTAGGCTGGCTAATGTTAAACCGTTGCATGTAGGGCATCTGTTATCAGCACCCCCCATATCTTCCTTACAGGCTGGCATCACCAAAGGCAGAAAGGGCTGAAGAGAGAATATGGTCTCAGTGTGGTTGGATCAAACCTTTAAAGACAGAACGACAGGATGCGCCAATCTTATTACCTGCGTGCCTCCCATTCTCTGCGCTCTCGACGTTTCTCTATCCTCCTTTCCACAGCCCCCTAGACAAGAATAACACATTGAGAAATGCACTTTGTGCTGTAAGTACAACAAGGTTTGAAAGGAAAAAAATAAATAAAAATAAAATAAAGTTACCCACTCCCTGTGTGGGAATGGGACACTGCACGGACCTAAAATGAAATGAGGCACCTGTGATAGGGAGGGCCCTGGCTGCACCCTTATAATGTATGCATGTTAAGGTGAGTACAGTCCTCTTGGAGTTCTATTAAAAAAAGTCACAAAAATGTACCCCATTCCTATGCTATGAACCTAATGCCTGCTCTTATGATACTAATCAACTTATTTAGGAAATTCTTTCACCCGAACATTCATACATTATAAGAGTGCTGCTGGGGCTCTCTGTCACATGCACCCAATTCGAGGGCCCTATTTAACATTGCACTGCAGAGAGTCCCATGAGGAAACATTTACCAATTATTTTAATCTTAATAGATTAGGAATTATATTGCTATAATAGAACCTGCCAAGAATGGAGTACATTGGCATTATGGTATGCTTATACAATGTATGATCATATACCGTCAGTAATTCTCCTACTTGGAGGGAATTTAAAGTGCTATGTGCAGCACTTACTTTGAACTTCGCACACAGCGTAGTTAGTCTGTGGCCACTGAACATAACCCTGGATTAGGGATCGACCGATACTGATATTTTTTAGATCAGGTACCGATAATCTGTGAACTTTCAGGTCGATAGCCGATAACTTTCCATTTCTAAAGGTAAATGCACAAAATATACATGCCACATGTAGTGGATGCAATGTGTTTAGACAGGGGGAGTTGTGTGTGTTTGTGTAGTGGATGCAGTGTGTATTTGTATAGTGTGTATAGAATGAATGCAGAGTGTGTTTGTATAATGTGTATAGTGAATGCATTGAGTGTGTGGTGAGTGCGTAGTGTGTGTATAGTGAATGTAGTGTGTGCATAAAGTGAATGTAGCGTGTGTATAGTGAATGCAGTGTGTTTGTGTAGTGTATATATAATGAATGCAGAGTGTGTAAATAATGAATGCAGAGTGTGTACAGTCAGGTCCATAAATATTGGGACATCGACACAATTCTAATCTTTTTGTCTCTATACACCACCACAATGGATTTTAAATGAAATGAACAATATGTGCTTTAACTGCAGACTTTCAGCTTTAATTTGAGGGTATTTACATCAAAATCAGGTGAACGGTGAAGGAATTACAACAGTTTGTATATGTGCCTCCCACTTTTTAAATGGCCAAAAGTAATGGGACAATTGGCTGCTCAGCTGTTCCATTGCCAGGTGTGTGTTATTCCCTCATTATCCCATTTACAAGGAGCTGATAAAAGGTCCAGAGTTCATTTCAAGTGTGCTATTTCCATATGGAATCTGTTGCTGTCAACTCTCAATATGAGATCCAAAGAGCTGTCACTATCAGTGAAGCAAGCAATCATTAGGCTGAAAAAAACAAACAAACCCATCAGAGAGATAGCAAAAACATTAGGTGTGGCCAAATCAACTGTTTGGAACATCCTTAAAAAGAAAGAATGCAAGGGAAAGGGACAGAAGTGGAATGTTATGCAATGGCCAAGTCAATCACCTGACCTGAATCCGATTGAGCATGTATTTCACTTGATGAAGACAAAACTGAAGAGAAAATGCCACAAGAACAAGCAGTAACTGAAGACAGTTGCAGTAGAGATCGACCGATTATCGGTCTGGCCGATATTCGGTATTTTCGTCAATATCGTTAGCGGCCAATTCAATTCACCAATATTGCTGATAATATATAACAGGACTGTGTAAATCTTGCGGGTCTCGCGAGATTTACACAGGGGAGCTGGAGGAGCTGCTGGGAAGGTAAGTAAACACTTGCTGCTGGCCCCCAAGGACCGCCGGGCTTGTAATGAGGCACGCTGGCCGCGAGATTTACACAGGGGAACTGGAGGAGCTGCTGGGAAGGTAAGGAAACGCTTGCTGCTGGCCTCACCCCCCCACTGCTTAGTACACAGTCCATGCCACTGGACCACAAGGGAATGTCATAGCCCTCCTCCCTGGCCAAGTAACAAGCAGGGACTAAAAAATAAATATTAAAAAAAAAAATTGTTTTAAAAAAAGTTTTAATAAAAAATGCCCCCTCAATTACATACATACACACTCCATTAAATACACATACACTACACAAAACACACTGTGTATATAATGCAGTGTGTGTGTTTGTGTAGTGTGTATATAATGCAGTGTTTGTTCAGTGTGTTTATATAATGCACACTACACAAACACTGCAGTATATACACACACTATACAAATACACAGTTTGCATTTAGTATATACAGCATTCACTTTACGCACCCACAGCATTCACTTTATGCACACTACACAAACACTCTGCATTCATTAAATACACACTACACAAACTGCATCCACTACACACACAGCTCCAATGCCTAAACACACTACATCCACTACACATGGCATGTATATTTTGTGCATTTACCTTTAGAAATAGTTTTTTTTTTTCAAAATGGTAAATGTAGAGAATATCGGTAAGTTATCGGCCTGAAAGTTCACAGAATAACGGTATCGGTACCGGCCCTAAAAAAATCAATATCTGTCGATCCCTACCTGGCAGAGCATCACCAAGTATGAAACCCAGCGTCTGGTGATGTCTATGCGTTCCAGACTTCAGGCTGTAATTGACTGCAAAGGATTTGCAACCATGTATTAAAAAGTGAAAGTTTGATTTATGACTGTTAATCTGTTCCATTACTTTTGGTCCCTTAAAAAAGTGGGAGGCACATATACAAACTGTTGTAATTCCTACACTGTTCACCTGATTTGGATGTAAACACCATAAAATTAAAGCTGAAAGTCTGCAGTTAAAGCACATATTGTTTGTTTCCTTTCAAACCCATTGTGTTGGTGTATAGAACCAAAAAGATTAAAATTGTGTCGATGTCCCAATATTTATGGACCTGACTGTATATAATGAATGCAGTGTGTATAAATAAAATGAATGCAGTGCGTGTGTGTGTATATAATGAATGCAGTGTGTTTGTGTAGTGTGTGTATATATATATATATATAAAATGAATGCTGTGTGTGTGTGTGTGTGTGTTTGTATACAATGAATGTAGAGTGTGTTTGTGTAGTGAATGTATATAATGCAGAGTGTGTGTGTGTGTGTGCTTCTGTAGGTATGTAATTAGTGTAAAACTGGGGGTCCTAGGGGGACTCACGAGATTTACACAGGGGAGCTGCTGGAAAGCTAAGAGCTTGCTGCGGGCCCCCCAGGACTGCCGGGCTTGTCTTGTGCTCGGTGGTCCTGGTATGTATTATCGGCAACTTCGTTAACTCTACTTGCCGATACCGATATTGCTGAAAATACAGAATATCAGCCAGAACGATAATCGGTCAATACCTACCCTGGGACTCCCCCTTGTGAGCAGAACCTTTATAATGCTTGCACCAAAACTGGAGGAGGGGAAAGGGAGGGTGAAATGAAAAGAAACAATAAGCTTAAACTAGCTTGTGACGGACCTCTGTCACCAAGTACCATGCCCACTGCTTATTTGTGTGTTTTCCCCTTGCATTCTGTGTTTTCCCATGTATTTGTATGCATTCCGTTTATTTTGCCTGTTCCCCGTTTGAGCTCATACGAATGAAACCTTTTAGTCTCCCGAACGGGGACAACCCTGATTTCTCATTTAGATTGCTCATTAGAACATTCTAAAACCGCAAGGAAAATCATTAATGAATGCTCCGATCGGTGACCCCCGGTTCGTATAGCCAAACACCAACCAGGGGATGCATATAGAGCTATAGTTACTTTTCCACCTACCTGGGAGTTGTGAGACCAGGCTCGTGGCTGTGAGTCGGCGTCATAGCCGCAGAGGTTCCGCTGGCCGCCTGGAAGTCCGTGCCGACCAATAGGAGAAAGAGTGCCTATTCAAACTGGGTTTGCGCCACTCTCCTGATGGGTCAGCACGAGGGAGCGCTGATTGGTCGCAGGCGACCGATCAGAGAGGAAACGCCCTTTTAAACGGGGTTTCAGGCCCATTCTCCTGATTGGGCGGCAAAACCCCTCTCCTTCCTGAGCACCAATTGACGCAAATTGGTTTCCGCATTTCAGCTGATTGGTTGTTGCTTGGTTTAGGCGCAAAGTTGGAACTACTTTCGGGAATGTACAGAGCCTCGAGCCCAGACTTTGCACGATGGTTTCTTGGGCTCTGTACATCAGATAGCCCCGCTATTTGCATGGATCCCAGCTGGGACCCGGGGCTAGCTAGAGAGACATATTTTATATGTGTGACCCCTTCCCTTCCCAGGGCGCGGAGCACCTAAGTTTCCCCCCTTGTATGTGAAATGTTTTAATGTGTGTAACTTTATGGGCTGTTGGTATCTCCCAGGGTGTGAGATGGCCATCTGTAACCAAGCACCCTCCTGTCTGGGACTAATGAAAGTGTACTGAACTGAATGAAGACCCCCTGTGGTAGGCTGTGCATAAAAGCTGTGTTTTTCAATAAAGAATGTCAGTGTTTGTACCTCCAGAACTCTGTCTTGTCCAATTATTGGGGGAGAAGAAAGGGCCTGTGCCAGATTGTCGCAGCTGGTGGAGGATGCAGTGGGGAAAATCCTTGTAAGGACTGTAACTCCCAGGACTGAGGGCTGTCCAGTGCCTGGGAGCAAGCAGAGCTAGTTCCCCTACCCAGTGCACCTAGGAAGCAGTCCATTTGACGGAGGTAACCGGTTGAGTTACAGGGAGCTGCCATCACATAACTTAAAGCAGATATGTCATTTTTTCTGTGTCTAAAATCCTCCCTGGACTATTTTTTTTGTTCTTTAAATCATGCTTTTGTTTAAAGGGACTACATTTTCATATGTATAACCTGCAGGTTGACAAAAGGTAGAGTCAAGTTCAATGGTCTTTGTCAGCATCGTGCTACTTCTGGGATTCTAATGCTATGCATCATCGACGCTCGCATCAATACAGTATATCAGTGTACTTGGCAATTTACAATCACACATATAGATCTAACTTAAATTATTAACCTCATCAAAACGTCTTCTTTTTCCAGATGGCTCAGAGCCATCACTGTCATTTCCAGAATCCTCTCCATCCTCATCTTCATCATCACGGAATATGTCATCGTAATTTGGGATCTCAAGATCATCATCTTGCTTAATCAGCAGCTTTATCTTAAAACAGAAATAGGGTCATGTTATTCATTAATAAATTTTAATGCTAAGATAATTAACCTTTTTCCCTCTCTAAAATATGTACTGTACCTGGCTATCATTGTAGACATTCACCACATCTATTGGTCTGTGAGTATCACAGATATAGAAGATGGTCTCTTCCTGTGGCTGTAACGTTTCGAGAAGATCAACATTTGCACCACAATTTATAAGAACAAATAAACGGAACTGTAAAAAATTAAAAAAAAATTGATTAGCCATACTACATTCATAATAAGCTGAAAAGACTCCAGGCCAATCTTAAGAAGTTGGGTCTACCATCAAGACAGCTTGGGGATTAAAAGTATAAAGACATATTAAGGCAAAGAAGGAATACAAATGTATAGGCAACTATATCTATTCCATTAAAGGGACACTCCAGATCCCTAAAGCACTTTAGCCTGCTGGAATGTGTTGTGTGTGAAGACTGTGTCCTAGGTTTTAATTTGCAAAAAGTGCAGATTTCAATAGAAATTGACATGTTTTTAAATTAACCTGATTAAATGTCTCATTTGGGGTATATCTACTCAACAGTGATTTTATTTAAATTGTTTTTGGGCAATGGAGTGTCCCTTTAACTAGTATATGCTACCAAGTTGCACTCAAAGTGGTTTTGTCACAGCAATATCATTATTTTAGGATTTCATAGAGGTTACATCTTTATCAAATACTCATATTGACTGCATTGGAATTTTATTGAAATTACAACAAATCAAAAGTTATTATCTAGTCATCAAGTAGTACTATTTTGTTTTGAGTAGAAGCCTAAAACTGGCAAAACTTGATAAAGGGCCGACCTTTCCGTCAAGTTTTATCACAGCTGTCTTAAGTAATGGCTGTGGGAAAGAGGCATCTCTTTGCACAATTTAGTCTACGGAAGATCCCGAGGTATCTTCTGTGCCATACTCTTGTGCATGTGCAAGAGTACAGTAGTGAGCACGGCTCCTGGTGGAAGAAGCACTAGGAGGTGAAGAAGAAAGATTGTGGCCCCTCATCAGCAAGAGCTTCAGGTAAATATATTTTCCTCCAGCTTTACTCTCTAGCCACCGCATAGTATGGATGTCATCTTCAGGGGTCTTTGCAAAATATGCAAAAGCCCTCAAAGATGAAAGAGCAGCTTTAACATTAAAGTACTCACTGTATAAAGTCTGTTCTGACAATGTTAAATGTCCCATGGTCTTAAATGCTCACCTGTTCTTTATGCTCAAGGAATATAGTTTCAAGTTCTTGCCAGCCAGATACAGGTACCAATGTGTACTGCACATGATCACATTGAAACAGAGCCTGTGAGACATTTAAATAGAGAGGTTTTCCTCAGTAATTAGTCTAATGCACATCACCATATATTCATATGAAGAAAAAAAAAAAAGCGAGCACAAATCAGGTAGAATGATACCATTAACATGAAATACTAGAGTAAGACACAATGTAAACCAAACATTACCTGAAGAATTTTACAAGCACACAGAGCGTCAACATCTGGGGCAACAATGAGAAGGACACGCTGGAAGAAGAAGAAAAATTGCATAACTGATAATTCATGCAAGTATATTTGTGCAAAAAATTGTCTCCTTGTTTGAGGCACAATTTGAATATCCACATTGATGTTCTAACACAATTCACTGTAAAGAAAATATTCTTAACTACTTAGTGTACAAGGTTTTAACACGTGTTTTGTGATTGATGCGGTTTTGCAATGGGTTTGTTCAAAAGTAAGTTTTTGCTTTTTCATTAAGTGCACCAACATTTAGTATCCATTTTTAAAGGATAGATATGGCTTTCTTCTGATGTCCTAATAATTTATTATTAAAGCTAAACATTTTCTGAATTTCATATTTGAAGATTATAATGTGTAAATGGTGCTACACAAAAATATCATTATGTAGAATCTAGACATCCCCCACAGCATTAAAGTAACACTCTAGGCACCCAGACCACTTTAGCACACTGAATTGTTCTAGGTGCCAACTCCTGTCACCCTGCAAGTGTAATTATTGCTGTTTTATAAACTGCAATAATTACCTTGCAGGGTTAAGTCCTCCTCTAGTGGCTGTCAAAATGAATGTAGGTGCTGCACCTGTAGTGGTCATGTGAGTGACTTGGAGTAGAGGTGTTTCTAAACACTGCCTTTTCTCTGACAACTTTTTTTAGCTGTCTCCTAGATTCCCAACAAATTTGTCAAGCCCTGGTCTATTCTGATATTAGAAATGTGTTTTACTGTATTTAATACAGTAAATAGTGTTATTTTGCCAACAACTACTGACCGTTTTCAGAAATACACTTAGTGTAATTCTGAATGAGCCTGGTTCCCAGACAATTACTCTATTTGCTCGATTATAGGACAATCCCCCATAATTTTGGATCTTATTGAAAAAGAAAAGAAAGGCATAAATATGAAGGGTGGGGGAATCAAATCCACTGTTTTAATGATTAAACAATGTTTTATGGCAAAAAAACAACACTATTATCTGCAAAGAGTATACCATACACACACCTTGACACTCCAATACACACAGATGCTTCCTATTGAATTGGCTGAGATTGACAAGATTGATCGCCAGCACGGCGTGGGAAAAAAGGTGAGTGAAAACCTTTCCTATGTGATTGGAGGAGGGCAGGTCACCTAACATACACACCGACACATTGTTTTTTCACACTTTTTTTTCCTGAAAAAAACAAAACAAAAAACAAACCCTTCTTATAATCAAGCAAATACAGTATATAGAAAGAGGTGCCTGAAAGCTGGCAATCACAGCACCGGCCCAGATCTACCGGGGACAGGCTAGGATATAAATTCTAAACAAAAGTTATTTTAAAATTCTCTCTTATATGCACACAGCACAGCTGGAGAAGACGCAGTGTGTGGACACATACGGAATGTCTCCGTTAGGTGCTGGAGTGCACAGGCATCTCTCCACTGCATCAAGGAGAGCTACTTCACTGCAACAAAGTGTTTTCTGTTGTTGTTTTAAAGGGACCCTGTAGACATTGAAACACTTCATCTCATTAAGGGGACACTGTAGGCACTCAGACCACTTTAGCTCGTTAAAGTGGTCTGGGTGCAATGCCCCGTGTCCTTTAACCAAACAGCGGAAATTATTGCAGCTTCTGAGAAACTGCAATAAATTACCACAGAGTTAACCACCTCTAATGGCTGCCTACCAGACAGTCACTAGAGGGACTTCCTGGTTTTAACACCTTGAGCCACGCGGGAGGAGGCGCACTGCAAGAGCCTATAGTACCAGGAAAACTGACTTGTTTTCCTGGCACTATAGAATCCTTTAAAAAGGCAGCATTTCCCAACTGGTGTTCCGCAAGAACACAAATAGGGTTCCGCCAAGATTTCGGGAAACAAAATGGCCGAGGGAGCGGCAAGAGAGCACTCTTCAATGCTCAGCTCCCTCGCGCGAACAGCAGTGATGCCGGAGTCTGAATACAATGTCACTCCAGCATCACGAAGAGGCGTGCGAGGGAGCTGAGGAGGAAGATCACTGCTCCCTTGCCGCCCGCACGCCAGCCCTACTGGACCCCAGGGACCACATGCCCAGCCGCTCAGCAGCCCCACTGGACCCCAGGGACCGCATGTCCAGCCACTCCACTGGATGACAGGGACTGCACGCCCAGCAGCCCCACACACTGAAACATAGATACACACACTGGCACATATAAACACAAACACAGATATACACACACTGACAGATACACACTGTTTCTGTGTCAGATTCATACACGGCACATACAAACACAGATACACACACACAGTGTGTCACTATGAGCACATACAAAAAACTGCGCAAATTATTCTTTATTTTTTTACCGGAGAGGGGGGGTTCCATGATGTTGATAAACCGTCAAAGGGTTCCACAGGAAAAATTTATTGGGAACCCCTGCTTTAAGGCAAAGCTTTCATACGGGGAGCACCTAATGCGCATGCATGGCGGGCACATTAGTCGTGGTCCCTCCTCCCGATGATGTCGGAGGAGGGAGGCAGAGCGATGAAACGAGACTGAAATCAGGTAAGTTAATAAAGGGTTTTTCACCCATGACGTGTCCCGGTGATGGTGTGGGTGGCAGTATATAGTGTTAGCAATACAGATTTGTATAGATTCTGGTATCTCTGTCACAATACTTTTCCAAGTAAACATGGAAATAGTGTTTACTGGGGTGAATGAACGAAGGACTGTGAGCCCCACTATAAACAAAGCAGCACTCTCCATGCAGATAAATAGATGGTTTTCACATTAGTGCCGTGTTACTGTCCATGGATGGGGTACTCAGTGCCGTGTTACTGTCCATGGATGGGGTACTCAGTGCCGTGTTACTGCCCATGGTGTACTCAGTGTCCATGGATGGTGTACGGAGTGCTGTGCCACTGTCCATGGATGGGGTACTCAGTGCCGTGTCACTGCCCATGGATGGGGTACTCAGTGCTGTGTCACTGTCCATGGATGGGGTACTCAGTGCTGTGTCACTGTCCATGGATGGGGTACTCAGTGCCGTGTCACTGTCCATGGATGGGGTACTCAGTGCCGTGTCACTGCCCATGGTGTACTCAGTTACTCCCACACGGTGACCCAGCGCTGGTAACACCCCCGGTTATGTCGCAGTAATGGTGTCACAGCCCCTCAGCCGGACCCGGTCCCGACTTACCTGGGTGGCGATCACCTCGTAAAACTCTTTCCGCAAATCACTGACGAACATCTTGCCCGGCTGACGGTTGTCCTCGAAATTGGCGCTAAAACGTGAGGTCAGCGACTGACCAATCAGCGATCTCACTCCTACCCCCGCACCGCGCGCGAGCCGCTATAGAACGTTGGCTAACCTTTCGGCGCGCTGCTCGCCGGGAGTTGTAGTTTACCTCTTGCGCTTTGCATGTTTCTGCTGCTGCGCTTTGCTGGATTTACGGACGCAGATACTTCCGGAACAGTGACTGTACATATATCGACAGAGAAACAAACAATACCGGCCGGGAACTGCTAGCAAGATGGTAAATACCTCTACAAGTGTAACCACTAACCGCATTGCTCGGGGAGGGGGATGATAATTCGAATTATGTTTTTATATTTCGATTTCTGTAAACTATTTGAGGCCATATTAATAGATCTAAGGGGTCAGGGCTAATTGCTAGGTGTGAATTATCCGGAATTTAAAGTCCATTTAAATTGAATTTCACGTTTTAGACCAAGATATCCAAACTGGAGAAACCATCTAAATAAGCAATGTTTACAATTTGGCTCATAATACCTAAAATGTAATATTTACTTTGCTGTCACTTTTAATTCCCAACATTTCGCACCTTAGTGAATAGCCGCTTTAGTGACAGACCTGTGATAAGGCCATAGTGTTATGGTATTCATTTTGATATATTTTACACCTGAACCAGTTGGATGGAATTAATCATTTCTCAACATTCTGTTTTTCTCTTTCAGTTTTCCTTTAACATGTTTGACCACCCAATACCGCGGGTTTTCCAGAACCGCTTCTCCACGCAATACCGCTGCTATTCTGTGTCTATGCTGGCCGGCCCTAATGACCGCTCGGATGTTGAGAAAGGAGGAAAGAGTATGATGAGTTTCATTAATTAGAGTTCTAGTCAAGTTACATTCTAGTGGTGGAATCTGTGGCACTATGTAAGATGCCATAGCTTTCTGAAACTGTCATTTATGCATCCTGTCAGTTTGTGTTCTAATAACTAACTTTTGTTTTTTGTTTTTGTTTTTTAGTCATCATGCCTCCATCTGCTTTGGATCAGCTCAGTAAGTTCTGTTTATATCATATTGTAATGTGGTCTGTGAAATACATACTCCTTTTTTACAAGGGAACAGCATAAACAAAGTATAGCATTTTTTGCCCCCCCTTTCTAATATGTGTTAGCAGTGGGTGGCACACACTGGTTCAAGACCCTTTATACAAACGTATCCCCTGTCATCCTGTCCAGTAGTTCTCAGATCATAGATCAGGAGTCCTCAAAAACTCAATACAATAGTGGTAGATACAAGGTAGAAGGAAAATGTAGATAAAACATCAACACTGATTATGCTTTTTCATTCTTCAAAATGTCAAAGCATCATATAAGTCATAGCTCAAAATCTTGATTTACCTTTTGGGCATTGCATTAATGGACTGTGTTTATCTCTTTCCAACACAATGCACTCGTGCAGCACCCATCTTGTACATCTCTCACTGATTTTTCAGTCTACTAAGTAACTTTTTCTGTTTGTCTGTTGGTCTTGTGCTTTCATAGTACCATTTTAATCCTCCCCACATTACTTAACCCCTTAAGGACCAAACATCTGGAATAAAAGGGAATCATGACATGTCATGTGTCCTTAAGGGGTTAAAGGGATACTATAGGCATCACAACAACTTTAGCTTGATAAAGCAGTTTTGGTGTACAGATCATGCCCCTACAGTATCAGTTCTCCATTTAGAAATTTAATCACTTTGTTTATGCAGATGTAGACACACCTCCACTGAATGAGTGTGTCTGTTTAGGCGATGGGCACCCTCCAATCATATGAGAAATGTGTTTTTATTCACCGTTTTTCCAACGTCGTGCCAGTCTCGCCGTGGCTGGCCCTTCCTCCATGGCTGAGTTATTCATTCTTGATGATCTCAGCCAATCCAGTACTTCTCATAGGAAAAAATCGGGAGGTTGTTACACATGCGTAGAAAAACACTGCGTTGTACCAATCAGCAATTCGGCACCTCCATGCAGAGCGTGTGTAGCACTGGACTAAGAAGCACCTCTAGTGGCCATCTGAGTGAGGTGTTACTAGACAGCAATGCAAACCCGAAATGCAGTGTTTACATTGAAAAGCCTGCAGGCACAAGCTATAGACACCAGAACCACTACATTAAGCTGTAGTGGTTCTAGTGACTATACTGTCCTTTTAAGAAGTGTATTTTTTGTCATTGAAAATAAAGCTTTGTTAGTTTAAAAAACAAACAAAACAAAAACACAATCTGGCTCCTAACTTTTATTAGCTGGCTGCTAGATTCTAGATAAATTTGTAAATTAGTCAAGCTCTGTTCTAAAGGGAGGTGTAACTAGGGCTGTATGAACCGAAACAAAAGTCATTTAATGCCTAAATGGTAGTGAGTTGAGGGGCATAATCTATACACAAAAACTGCTTCATTAAACTAAAGTTGTTTTGATGCCTATAATATCCCTTTAACATTTGTGACCCTCCTGTATTAGGTTTGCATTACTTTCGGTCTCCCTAACTATTACTGTGTTTTCTGTTCTAGGTAGATAACCTTTCCATCATCTTCATTAGGTTTATCATTATTGATCTTAAAAGAGCTTTAAGGGACACTTTTTAGGCACCTAGACCACTTCAGAAGTGGTCTGGGTGCTGTGTCCATTTTGCACTTAGTGCTGCAATGTAAAACATTGCAGTTCCAGAGAACTGCAATGTTTACATTGCAGCTCTAAGTCTGCCCTCAGTGGCTGTCTACCAGACAGCCACTAGAAGGCTTCCAGAATCCAAACGGAACTTTGGTCCGGTATCTGACGCTGGACATCCTCACGCTCTGCATAATGACCTCTAGAGTCAGATTTTTTTTCCCCATAGAAAAGCATTGAATAATACTTTCCTATAGGGCAATCCTAATGCGAGCAGGACCATTGCCGTGCATGTACATTAGATCTCCCCCACCGGCTGATGCCTGACCCTGTGCCGAGGGACATTGGCGCTGGATTAAGGTAAGTGACTGAAGGGGTTTTCACCTCTTCAGCCCCGCGGGAGGGGGGCCGCAAGAGAGGGGGTGCACTGTAGGGACCTAGAGTGCCAGGAAGTTTGCTCTGTTTTCCTGGCACTATAGTATCCCTTTAATATTTAAAGTCCTATGTTTCAAGCTAGGCCTTAAAATTTGCTCGGCACTGCAAGCCTAAATAAAACATGGCACACTCACTAAAGGTGATTACTTGCCAGGGCAAAATTTTCAGTCACCAATGACTAGTGGCGAATAGAAATTTTAAGCCCTGATCTAATGAATTGTGATTTAGTGAAAGGGGACCTGTCATTCCCTAAATAACATATGCTCATTATATTGAGCATACAATTCTATCTATACGTTGTTCTAGCAGTTTGCTAGCAAATGCATAGATCAGGAGAAAAAAAAAAGTTTTAAAATAGGAGATACTTCTACTCTCCCAAGCATTGCAACCACGATGCATGTGCTGCAGTTGCTATGGGAACATACTGGCCGGTGCTTTTAGCGTTGGCTAGGGAGTATAGAAACGGAGCAATGGAACTCTGTTCCAACAGCAGCATGCTGGCAACAAAGCCGATGTCACTGAGGAAGTTTGCCCTGCTTGGGGATGCATTCCCAAGCAGTGCAAATCACGGAAGATAGCAGGCGGAAAGGAGTACAGCCCAGGGGTGGGTGTTGCACAAAGAGTAACACTCACAACGTGGCAATGGAATGGAGGAGAGGTTAATAAATCTCTATATTTTACATTGAATACATCATGTATCTTTGTATCAATGTATATGGGAGTATTTAAGGTAACTTAAAATTTTTACAACCAGTTCACTTTAATCACTGGAAGATAGTGTGGACACTGGTTCCTCGCCCCCTCTCCCCACCCTACACAATTAACAATGTGGAAAATATTATGTGATTCACTAACTAATAGTGATATAGAACCCAGCTACAAACATTTTAACCTGCCTCCTAAGTACCAGTAAATTCTGCCAAGCCCTGAGCCAGCCCCTCTTTTGCCAATCCACCCACTTTCTACTTAAGAATTTAGAAGTTTGTGAAATTTTGCCTGCATTTGTTTCATCATTTTGTGCATTTTCCTTATAATGTTGCACCAATGACTGCTGTTACATGTTAGTCGTGTGCATCACACACTTGACCACAAGCATAGCTGTGCAAGAAATCTGAGGCAGAGGTTTTTTATTTTTATTTTTTAATGGGTTTGCCTTGCAGGCAAGTTAAGGGGAACAAAAAGTTGGGATGGAGAAGAAAATATTTACTATAGTGGGAATGCTATTGGTGGTATAGGCTGATGAGAAGTAACTGTGGAATTGTAGAATGCTAGTTTTTTGTTAGCTGGGTATGGTTTTTGCTACTTCGTGCAAAACATGTTTGTTTATGGTAACATATCTTTAGAGGAACACTTGGGCACTAGCTGAGCTAAGCAGGGCTGCTCTCATTAGCTGGGAGAATCTGCTGATGCCGTCAGCCAGTGATAATGGTCTTGCTTAGCTTAATGGAGCTAACAGGATTCTCATGGACGCACGTGCCCAGGGAGACCCTGATAAGTTTTCAAAAATGGTTTAATGGAAAGCTACAGATTTAGGAATACAAACCTATATTCCTAACACTATTATTTATTTATTATTGGTATTCATAAAGCGCCAACATATTCCGCAGCGCTGTACAAATAGTGGAAAACATACAATATACACAGACAAATACAAAAGTTAGAGAGAGCCCTGCCCGTGAGCTGAGATCTAGCCATTTAAGCTCTTTTATAAAAAGTGCATAGCTAGATAGCCCATGAGCTTACAATCTAAAGCCCTATAGTGTTCTCTCCTTTATTAGATTAGATCGTTAAATCTAAATAAAGAGTGTAACTTACCATTTGCCCAGCGCCGAGATAGAATCTCTGTCTCCAATGATGTCACTTCGACGCTTCTAAACGTCCTGTTCAGTGCTCCTCTTAGAGGCCTGGCTAGTAGCATACAAATGTGAGTTGTTGTTTGTTTGTTTGTTTGTTTTTGACTCCTGAATATATTTCAGAACAATGTTGTGTATTTTCTGTTCTGACAGAATAAAGATTTATAAATCATTTTAATTATGTATCTATCTTTCATTTATAAAAAAAAATTTCTCCCTGTAGGCCGATTGAACATCACATACCCAATGCTTTTCAAACTCACCAATAAAAATTCAGATCGTATGACGCACTGCGGAGTTCTTGAGTTTGTTGCAGATGAAGGGATATGCTACCTGCCACACTGGGTAAGTGGGATATACAGACCAGTTTATAGCATAACACCTGCAAACACCTGTGTGTCCAAAAGGCTCTTATTAGCCACTTCACTATTTATAAAACTAAAGAAAAATTTAATTGTTGCCTCTCTCAGAGTAACGAGGGTCACAATGTTTTTTGTGCTTCAAGCAAACTGACTATTAACAGTTAAAGACTCCATATCAGTACGACAATCTAGGACAGGAGTCTCAAAGTATTTTTGGCCACCTATATGTGTTGAGGTGTGTCTCTCTGTGTATAGAATTATGGCCTTTTGGTGGTACAGATTTGTGGACACCACTAGAGAAGGCAGTGTAACCAGTGGCCCAAGGACTTTGACACTTCTAGCCTTGAACTTATGTACTGATGATATAAAGTCAAAAAAGACCATCAAGCTTTTTTTATTTTTTTTTATTTTTTTTTTAAGTTTATTTTTATTTAACTTCTGAGTCACACAGGAGCCTGGTAAAGCCTCAACTGTTTCCTTAATAACTGCTGTGTAGCCAAAACATTTTCGTGTGTGACATTGTAAAACAAAATCGCAATCGGCTCAAAATTCCAAGATCCAAGGGTCTTTTCCAGGGGACTAAAATGGTAGCCTGGTCTACTTGTCTGTCATGACAATCTATGTGACATGACTCACAAAATTATTTCAGATTGGGAAACCTGCCTAGCTTTGTTCAGGTGATTCACCAGTTTCAGAATTTTCACAAATTAAATCCAAATGCAAAAACTATAGCGCCGCTATAGTCACTAAATTTTGCTCAGTTTGAAAATTTGGAGTTTAGTGAATAACCATGAGTGTCTCTCTCTTCTTCCCTCACATTCTGTTTGATTGTGTATGTGCACGGCGCCCGAATCATTTCAATTATATTACGTGGATATAGTGCCTAGAGTATACCTGTAATATGAACATATAAACTGGTATCTTAACAATTCTAGTGTTTGAATTCTGTTTTATCCACTTCCTTTATGCTGCCTATTTTGGAGTATATTTTTTAATATTGACAATTGAAATGATAAAATAACATTGATCCTTACAGATGATGCAAAACTTACTGCTGGAAGAAGGTGGGCTTGTACAAGTAGAAAGTGTCAACTTGCAAGTGGCCACATACTCCAAATTCCAGCCACAGAGTCCTGACTTCCTGGACATCACCAATCCGAAAGCAGTGTATCCTTTCAATATCTGTTCTTGGGTATTAGATGGTAGATATAATTTGTATAATATACCACAGTAAAACGGTATATTATACAAATTTATATTTTCTATATCTTTAGATTGGTCATTGAATATCATATTACTTGAGAATGCATTTCCAGTACTTGAGTTTGAAGATAATGTTAATGTACTTTATCTCAGAGCCAAACCGTATTGTCCTATGAAACATGTTTATTTTCCTTAATGTCATGGTAAAGATTAGAGAATGCATTGAGGAACTTTGCCTGTCTCACAACCGGGGATGTCATTGCTATTAACTACAATGAAAAGGTAAATAAGATTAATTGTGTCGTTGATGTGTTCACTACACTATGAACAAAATGTACACTAACTAGCCCGTTTGAACTAAATCTCCAAATAAGAATTTGTGACCTTTTCCATCTCTGCTATTTTGGCTTACATTTTGCAGTTAGTCCACTAACCACATATTGAAAGTGAAGTACGTGTCAGACATAACAGTATAACAAATATCATAACGTGCACAATGAAAGCAAAATCAAATGATTATGGGGTTGTGTAATACACAATATAATTCTGTGACCCTATGTCCTGCAAAGGAAAACAATAAGGTACGATAAATGATGTGCAGGACCATATAGCTTTTAATTTTATTCTTAAATTGAAATGTTAATCTATGGCTAGCAAGTCGGGTATAAAGATCAGACACCAACATCTACCTTGCTGGAAGACAGTAAATGTAACTTAGAGTGGGGAATGGGTAAGAAACCCATATCTATAAAAGGGTCCAGGAGTATCCCTGTGAATGTAAAAAGTAAGGTGATTAAAAAGTGAAACATTAGCAAGCGCTGTGGATGAGAAGGAAGGTTGTTGTGCAGCTGGATCTAAAATGTGAATTTTGGGTCTCTTTTAATCTTGCCTTTTAGTCTGTTGCAAGGAGCACAATGCATGTTATGGGTCACTATGATCTGAACACAGGCTGAGTTGATTTAGAATTAAAGCAATCTCACAGATTTGGCACAAACATCAAAGTACTATTCTCAAACCGATATGGAGACTTGTTATGAGCAACAGACTTAAAAGGTATTTCTGTCTTGGACCATTGTGAAAGCGAATAATAACATCACTTGTCTTGGCTTAGCAATACAATTTTAGCCATCAGAAGACATTGATTTTGTCTGCTTGGCAGAAAATAATTGAGAAAGTAGCCTCCTAAAAAATGAGGTAATTCAACCACCTCTATAGCATCAGACAGGTTAAAACCTTAAAATTCTTCCATCTTCAATCTTCATCTACCTTCAGTAGTAGTGGCCAGTTCTGCATTGTGTAAACTTGATAAAGAGATCCCCTTTATCTCTTCCAGGAATTGGCCAATATCAGCCGCAATAGTGCAACGTAAAATCTCCAGGAGGCTCTTTAAAGTCCCCATGGTCATAGAGGGTGTTTTAGCAGCCATATGAAGTAGACAGGTATGCCTTGTCTCTAGTGGTAGTACAGTCTCATCATTGACAGAGACTTTTATAGAAAACCACGAGAGCCGCTCAAACAGCAATGCCATGAAAAAATTCAGAGATCTTTGCAGTCTTCTGAGAAGATCGCCAATATCAGCGATACGAAGCAGTTCATCCGCTTTATACTTTTTGCTCTGACCCCCCCCCCCATAGCAGGAGAATAGTGTCCCCATGAAAAATGGCAGGCGGTATTAACAATACTCAGTAATTGCTTGGAAAGCCAAAGCTGATATGGGGCTGTGAAGATACATATCCTCCTAGGATGGCCTCTGGCTCTGCCGTCCTACTACTTGCTTCAGCGAATTAAGACACTTTGAAATGTTTATTAATCCCAGGATTTTTGCCAAATGATGACAATATTGTGAAAGATCCTAGTTTAAACTTAGAGTTTACAATATGTTTCAGCTCCTCATTACTTGCTAAGCATTAAAGTGGTATTTTGTTACAGTCTAAGAAATGCTTTTGATAATGAAGTAGGTAGAGCTGTAATTCAGTCTGCTTTGTAATGCTCTTCTATCTACTTACAGATTTATGAGTTGCGAGTCATGGAGACCAAACCTGACAAAGCAGTGTCTATTATTGAGTGCGACATGAACGTGAGTGCTAATAGATCAATAAAATATCCTTTTCAGTATAAAACAAAAAACAAAGAAAAAGTATTTTTTAATAACAGCTTACCTAAAGCTTAACTTATCTTTTATTACAAGTGAAAATTAACATTTATTAGTATGTGTATATACTATGTGCATAAATGATGCCAAATAATTTTTTATTTTTTTTTAATATATATATATATATATATATATATATATATATATATATATATATATATATATATATATATATATATATATATATATATTGGACTAACATAATATTTAAAAGACATGCTTTTGAGAATATTCCTCTCTTCCTCCTGTTATAATAAATATATAAATGTGTATGTATGTCTGTGTAATATATGTAAATGAAACCAAGATGGCTAGGGCTGCACTCACCTGAACATGCATACATTATAGGGTACTGCTGGGGCCAATATATACAAAATACACATTCCAGCACACACTTGCTTATTCACTAATCAATGGTGCGGTGTTTTTAAAGAAAACTGTTACAATCTGTGAGATTTGAAAACATTATTTAGTAAATAAGCGAGTGCGCTGGATTGTGTATTTTGTATGATATTATATATATATATATATATATATATATATATATATATATATATATATATGTGTGTATGTATATATATATATATATATATGTATGTATATGTGTGTGTGTCTATCTGTCTTATTTATCTAAATTTCAAGTACTATGCTCCTATCCATGCTTTCAAACTTACTTGCCACTCTAAGCCTGGAGAGTTTTTGGCAAAATAAAAAATTTTTTAAGCTCTCCTTAATTAGAAATCTTGTTAAACTGTAACACAGGATAATCCCCAAACCATATATATATATATCTCTATATCTATATCTCTATCAATGCTCAACAGGTTGGTGGAGTAACCACACAATGCTCACATAAATTCAAACACCTTATGCTTGAAATTGAACCCAAATAGAAAAAGTCTGAAAATCCCAGAGCCTAAAATTACACGCAGTTACTGCTTTTCAGAATAAAACTGAATCACAATAATCATTACAGTAAAAGATTTACAAAAACTAGTTTAAACTAACCAGCATTAACATTCCATGGTTCATAAATCTGAATGTCCCAAAATCCTGATATTGAAGGTGTGAAACATAATGCTTTCTGCAAGCTTTTACTTAATTTGGAAATACGGTTAAAAGCACTTATGCATACAGGATTATTTACTAAAGGGAGAATTCAAAGTGAATTTCAAATTTAAGGTCAAAATAACCAAACTGGAAAAACAAAATATTCTCGCATCCTCTTTGGCTTGTCTTTTGGTGTTCGGAGAGGCACTGGCTTACTGAGTTTTGAAAACTGGAAATCTTCTAGGCGTGCATTTCAGCCTAGCCACTCATCAGCACAGTTGCATGTTACGTGGATATAGAGACACAAAATAGCCTAACACATCTTGTAGATCCCAGTCTGCTTCATCAGAGGCATTCTGTCCTGGTTTGCTACTATTGTAACCCCTTAAGGACCAAACTTCTGGAATAAAAGGGAATCTTGACATGTCACACATGTCATGTGTCCCTAAGGGGTTAAATACCCTTCAATTGTTCCTCACATATTGCTGAGATCCCTCAAGCCATTTAGCTATAGCATGATAACTTATACAAAAACAAGAAGCCTCTCCTTTACTTTGTGATGGTGAGAAAGATTACCCTCCCTGCTGTCTGACAGCTATGAGGGTCCAACCCAAACATTTTATAAAATCGAATGTGCTCTATGGGTCTCATTATTGTGATAACGTAAAGGATTATGCTAGATACTGTTATTGTAAAAGCTGACTATAACTTCTACAGGGCACAGAATTTCAAGTACTATGATAATAGATAGGCCCATAAATTACACAACATTGCGAGTATGGAAGTACATGGCGCACTCACCAGGGGTGGAAAATGTACTCTCCAGGGCTGAATTTTCACTTTCCATTAGATAATGCGTAAGCGAAAACTTTGAGCAGTGCCTTCTATGTAAAATTTTTAAAACTGTTCAGACAATTTTTGATTGCATGGATGAATTTTGGAATTAACCCAAAATTCTATGTTTGTCGGTTGGTAGTTCTGGTACTTTGTCTATTTACTTAAGCAGTAAGATTCTGGTGGAATAGAAACCCTATGCACATTTACAATAGATTTCAAAAATAGTACTATTTTGGTTTCAGAAATAAATTGTGCTGAGGAAATGATACATTTTCTATTTGGTTTTACTTTCACAGGTTGAAGTGTGCCCAAATTTCAGTATACAATCTTAATTTTTTTTAAATTAATTTTTTTGTGGCTTTCTCGTTTGTGTTCTGTAGGTGGATTTTGATGCCCCATTGGGTTATAAGGAGCCAGAGAGAAGCACGCAGCAGGAAGAACCAGCTGTAAGGACAATCAGGAACTATGGATTAATTTAGTATTGGCAGCTGTTATAGAATTGTGTACAGACCTTTTTTCTTTTAATGTGTTGCTGCAGCCCTTTGGAGGGGGACCTTTTCTGTGTAATATGCCCTACTGGGCACTATGGAGTAGGTCCTTCCCCTTTGTTTACATTAACCCCTTCAGGACCGAGGATGGTTCAGGACCGTCATTGGCATTTTTGCGTTGCTGACCGGTGACGGTCCTGAACCGTCCTAACGGTCCAATGTACTTACCCGATCGCCGTTGTTCACCCGGCGGCGATCGGTGTTGCTCCCGTTGTGGGGAGACTGCCTGCAGCCCAGACAGTCTCCCCATGGCAGATTAGGGCCCCTGTGTCCATGTGCAGGGGGATTGCCTGTGCGGACAGGCAGTCTCCCTGCTAGCGTAAAATCATAAAAAAAGTTAGTTAATAAAAAATAAATTATATATGTGTTTATGTAATATAGACATCTAGAAATATATTTTTATATATATATATATATATATATATATATATATATAAAATATGTCTATATATAATGTCATACTAAGTGTATTTTTATATTAATATATGTAAATAAATACGAAATATGCATATGTCCATATACAAAATTACATAAATAATTATATAAATATGCATATATATATATATTTAAATTCTACATGCGTATTTATGTAATAATTTTACATAATTAAGTAATTTTATTGATTACAATTTGAGGGACCTGCCTGACAACCCAGGCAGAAAATCCAGAGAATTTAATTTGCTAGCACTATAGTTTACCCTATAACTTTCTATGACACCCTAAAACCTGTACATGGGGGGTACTGTTTTACTCGGGAGACTTCGCTGAACACAAATATTAGTGTTTCAAAACCGTAAAACATATCACAGCGATGATATTGTCAGTGAAAGTGACTTTTCTTTGCATTTTTCACACACAAACCGCACTTTTACTGATGATATAGTTGTTGTGATACGTTTTCCTGTTTTTAAACGCTAATATTTGTGTTCAGCAAAGTCTCCCGAGTATAACAGTACCCCCCCATGTACAGGTTTTATAGCATTTTTGTAAGTTACAGGGTCAAATATATGATTCAAATAGTTTCACATTGAAAAAGGCCAGGTTGGTTACGTTGCCTTTGAGAGCGTTTGGTAGCCCAGGAATGAGAATTACCCCCATGATGGCATACCATTTGCAAAAGAAGACAACCCAAAGTATTGCAAATGGGGTATGTCCAGTCTTTTTTTAGTAGCCACTTAGTCACAAACACTGGCCAAAATTAACGTTCAATTTAGTTTTTTACTTTTTTCACACACAAATATGAATGCTAACTTTGGTCAGTGTTTTCGACTAAGTGGCTACTAAAAAAAGACTGGACATACCCCATATTGAATATCCTGGGTTGTCTACTTTAAAAAAAAATATGTACATGTGGGGTGTTATTCAGAGATTTATGACAGATAATAGTGTTACAATGTCACTATTGATAAATTTTTAAAATGTATGTTTTGAAACCGCAATATCCTACTTGTACCTATAGCCCTATAACTTGCAAAAAAAAAGCAGGTAAACATTGGGTATTTTTATACTCAGGACAAAATTTTTAATCTATTTAGCAGTTTTTTTCATTCGCTTTTGTAGATGAGTAAAAGATTTTTCAAGTAAAATTAAAAAAACATGTTTTTTTTGTTTTTTTTTCAATTTTTCATCATATTTTTGGAAGAAAATTTTTTAAATTAAATTACATGAGATTATATAAATAATGGTATGTAAAGAAAGCCCCTTTTGTCCTGAAAAAAACAATATATAATTTGCATAGGAACAGTAAATGAGAGAGCGGAAAATTACAGCTAAACACAAATACCACAAAAGTGTAAAAAGAGGCCTGGTCGCAAATGTACAACATCGCAAAATCAGTCCAGTCCTTAAGGGGTTAAAACCTCACAGAGAAGCTTGTGATTGGACCATTTTGCTGGCCTCGAAAGTATGTGTGCAATCTAAAGGCTAAAGAAGACAGATGTAAAATATGCACAGACGTAGAGTTCTGAGCTGCCTAGGTCACATGTGCTGGGGATTCAACTAGCCCATGCACACAATTAAAAAAAACAAAACAAAAAAACAAACATCTGTACATGCAGTGTTTCAAGCAGAAACACTGCAAATACAAACTTCTATCACCTTGACCACTTCAAACCACTGAAGGGATCATGGTGGATGGAGTAACCCTTTAAACAAAGATCGTTAATAAAATGTAAACAATCTTATTAAATATTTACTGCAAGGAACTACATTGAATAACAAGATATCTATATAGTCAAACTTTGGTTACCTTAATTTCTGTAGTCAGTGCTTTAAAATCACATAGAGCCTAATACTCAATACGTCTGTTAAAATGCAAATAATGAGGTCTCTGCTAAACATATCATCCCCATATACTTTATTTCACCTAGACATGGAACTTATGTACGAAAGAAAAAATAAATCGTTAACTGATTTAACTAAAGACAAGCATGTTGTAGGAAACTAAAATTGTAAATCTCATTAAAGCCATCTCTCTCTTCCTTAGGACATTGAACCAGATCACAGTGACTATGTAGCAGATGTGGGGTTCAGGGTGAGTTCAAGTCGTGCATTATTTTATTTATGATTTATTTTTTTATTTTTTTTAAACCGTAGTTTTCCCTGGAAAAACTCTAATGCTGGGCTTGACTTTGATGATGTGAAGAACATAATTAGAGCTAGATTTTATTAAATGAGATCAAGATATGCCTGGTAATTGGATAGCATTTTCATAATATTCAGTTATGATAGATAACTTTTATATTATCTATTAGAATGTTTACGATTTTTGTTTAATAATTTTTGTATGTTTTTTTCTATATTCTTTCTGCATTATACTTACAAAATTTGAAAATTACCTCAGATTTAGTTTCCTAGTGTCTGCCTTGTTCTGTTTGTATCTTTAGCAGTTAAATAAGTTTAAATTGAATGGATCTCCATCATATCTGTGGTGATTGTCCATAATTAGGGTTTAATCTTTATTTTTGTGCATGTATGTATTGAATATATTTCCCTCTAGATTAGAGGCAGTGCAACAAGAGGGATATCATCATTTCCTTCTGGTAAAAAAGGCAGGCAGAACTCTATTTAAAAAAGTTAAGCCCCTCCTAATCTTCCTCCTCTAGTACTATATACACCCCCAATGCACATTTACCCCAGTTGTCTGACCGCCTTCAGAGGATAGGTAAGCTTCATGTTTTGTTTTCCGGCTGCGGCCGTGGGGGGCTCTGCTTGTTCCGAAGGACCAGATCTGCTCGTGGACCTGGCTCTTCCCTCCTTGAGCATTGGAATGCACACCGGCTGCCTGCGTTCAATGCTTAATTAACATCTGCCCAGTCTGTGCCGGAAGTGGTGTGGGCATGGGAGTACCTTCAGGACGAACGCTCATACTGCTTGTGATGCGTTTCATCTAGGGATGGCGGCCCTCTATGCCCATGGCATGAAGACTATTTAAGCCCCAGCCACAAATACCTCTGGCACATAACTTCTGAAGATTCAGACACTTCATCTGATGAGGATTTCACCTTCCCTGATGAATACTTGCATAAACGTATCAAGGAAGTTTCTCTTTTTATGTAAGAAAAGGTAGGACAAAAACTCAAGAAGCCTCAAGAAACTCTGCTAGCTGTGCCCAACCATGCAATCTGACCAAGTTTATAGTAAGCTCAAAGTTTTTATTGCTCTACTTTGGTTTGTATATTTGTTTAAATGGGTTTGGCTTTATAAAATAAAAAAAAAAGTCAAGTGATACATGTCTTTGTTTGCCACTTTTGCAGGCCTTCACTGGTTCTGGGAATAGACTGGATGGAAAGAAGAAAGGAATTGATCCTAGTCCTTCTCCACTAAAACCTGGAGATATACGAAGGTTAGTTTTAAAACTGTAATATATATATATATATGACAGTTTGTCTGAAATCCTTATAGGACTTTTGTTTTAAAATTGCCCATTTCCTCTAAAACCTATTATTACTTACTTTTAAACATAATTCTTTTAGATTTTGTATCAATAACAAAAGAAGCAGGCATACAGAAAAGAGGTTGAATGGGGGTACAACAAATAACAATGCACAATATATCAAAAGACATACAAGCATTACTTAAAGGCCCACTATAGGCACCCAGACCACTTCAGCTTAATGAAGTGGTCTGGGTGCCAGGTCCAGCTAGGGTTAACGCTTTTTTCTATAAACATAGCAGTTTCAGAGAAACTGCTATGTTTATGTTAGGGTTAATCCAGCCTCTAGTGGCTGTCTCATTGACATCCGCTAGAGGCGCTTGCGTGCTTCTCACTGTGATTTTCACAGTCAGAAGACGCCAGCGTCCATAGGAAAGCATTGTGAATGCTTTCCTATGAGACTGGCTGAATGCGCGCGTGGCTCTTGCCGCACATGTGCATTCAGCCGAGGAGGAGGAGGAGAGCTCCCCGCCTGGCGCTGGAGAAAGAGGTAAGTTTAACCCCTTCCTCACCCTACAGCCCGGTGGGAGGGGGACCCTGAGGGTGGGGGAACCCTCAGGGCACTATAGTGCCAGGAAAACGAGTATGTTTTCCTGGCACTATAGTGGTCCTTTAATGTTACGTATAAAGTAATATACTTAGTCTTCCCACATCAGATATGTCTCTTATTTAAACCTGGTGTCAAAATAAACATTATATTAATCCCAATGATATTTGAATTTATGAGGCATCTTGGTAGAAGACATCAGTTCATATAGTTTGTGTTTTTAATTTTATCAGATATTTAGGGTAATGTCAAATGTATGGTAAGGTATGTCTTTTTGCTGATGATACTAAGATATGTAACAGGGTTGATGTTCCAGGAGGGATAAGCCAAATGACAAATGATTTAGGTAAACTAGAAAAATGGTCAGAATTGTGGCAACTGACATTTAATGTGGATAAGTGCAAGATAATGCATCTTGGACGTAAAAACCCAAGGGCAGAGTACAGAATATTTGATAGAGTCCTAACCTCAACATATGAGGAAAGGGATTTAGGGGTGATTATTTCTGTTGACTTAAAGGTAGGCAAACAATGTAATAGAGCAGCAGGAAATGCTAGCAGAATACTTGGTTGTATAGGGAGAGGTATTAGCAGTAGAAAGAGGGAAGTGCTCATGCCATTGTACAGAACACTGGTAAGACCTCACTTGGAGTATTGTACACAGTACTGGAGACCGTATCTTCAGAAGGATATTGATACCTTAGAGAGGGTTCAGAGAAGGGCTACTAAACTGGTTCATGGATTGCGGGATAAAACTTACCAGGAAAGGTTAAAGGATCTTAACATGTATAGCTTGGAGGAAAGACGAGACAGGGGGGATATGATAGAAACATTTAAATATATAAAGGGAATCAACACAGTAAAGGAGGAGACTATATTTAAAAGAAGAAAAACTACCACAACAAGAGGACATAGTCTTAAATTAGAGGGACAAAGGTTTAAAAATAATATCAGGAAGTATTACTTTACTGAGAAGGTAGTGGATGCATGGAATAGCCTTCCAGCTGAAGTGGTAGAGGTTAACACAGTAAAGGAGTTTAAGCATGCGTGGGATAGGCATAAGGCTATCCTAACTATAAGATAAGGCCAGGGACTAATGAACATATTTAGAAAATTGGGCAGACTAGATGGGCCGATTGGTTCTTATCTGCCGTCACATTCTATGTTTCTATGCAAGATTTCCATCTTGTGCTATAAACCACGACACATAGAAGAATGTGTATAATTAAAGCTTTGATAGCTGTTGGATAAGTAATCAGAAAAACGTCAAATTAAAAAAATATAGCTGGTGATTTCGGGACCAAGAGATTATATACTGATAGGATGAGATATTGAATCTATGTCCACATGTTCTAAAAAATTTAACAATCATGCCATGTATGTATTTGGTTGCTTTTCTGCTTTTTACATCTGAAACAGTCATGGGATCGGGATTGAAAACCAGTCTTTCTATCCAGAGGAGTTCTCTTTTGTGGTCTTGGTTAAGAAAGTAAATTGGTGAGGCTTACCTAAGCGAGACAGTGTTTAATGCAGCCATTACTATACCAGCTTATTTAAATAACTCATAGTGTTGGGCTACATAGGACATTTGGTACAACCTCTTGTCTCAATGTGTTGCATGTAATTAATAAGCTAACTGCTGCAGCTATTGCTTATGGATTCAATAAGAAGGTTGAAGCGAACCATATTAAAGGATGCCATTTTTGAAGTCAAGTCAACAGCAGGTGAAACTCACTTAGAGGGAGAAGATTTCGATAGCCATAAGTTGGACATTTTTTTATTGGCAGATTTCAAGAGGAGACACAGAAGGACATCACTGAAAACAATAGTGATTTGCCTTTTCCTACAACGCCAACAAACATGCTAAGCGTACTCTGTCACCAATCACTCAGGCTAGCTTTGAAATTGATTCCCTTTATGGAGAAATTGACTTCTAAATCTCCATTGGGTGTCCAGTTTTGAAGTACTAATTTCAAATGTATTTGTTTGAGAATAATTTTGTGCAAAATGGCAAATAGGAATATTATAAAATAATAGAAGTGTGTAAGGTTATTAGCAGATCCTCCAATATTGTAACTGATTATAAAATGTAGTCTTTTGGCTTAAGAATAGCCCACTTCCAATATATTTGACATACTGTGTTTTCTTCAATCAATACAATTAACAATAGAAATGAAAAAACGCTTATTTTGTCCATTCCTAAAAATGTACAAAAAGTGTGTGTGTGTGTGTGTGTGTGTGTGTGTGTGTAAAAATGTATGCAGACTAAACATAAAGCAGGAATTCTCAAGATTTTTTGCCTGGGATATTCTCATCCATACAGGTTGTACACTTCTTGCATTCTGTCATTATTGACAGGTGAAAACATCCTAAGCTCTACTTTAAGAGGCATATCTAAACTACGTCACAATCTATAGTTCAGTTTATCGAAGTGATAGGCCATGTATACAAAAGCTGACATATAACACAGTTATGTATCCCTCTGTGATTATACATCTTTAGGAACAAGTAAAAGAAAATGTCACCTTAAGCTTTCCATTTATAGTGACCTCTGAATCACTTCATTTCTTGTGCCAACAAAATAAATATTTAAAATATACATTTTAATAGACCGTTTGACCTGGATCCATGTGCTTGTCTCCAGTCTAGGTCTATGGAGGGGCTCCCTTCCTACTCACAAATTATTTAACATGATAGTGCTGGCGGCTCATATAGCCATAGCGGCGGGGTGGTTGAGTGACAGAATACCGACCTTCCAAGGAATAAAAGTCAAAATAGAGGACAACCGGTGGGTAGATAAGCTCACAACGTTAATCCGAAACTCTGAGCAGATATCAAAAGGTGTGGTTGACTTGGGAGCATTAAGAGATGTGCAAAGGAAAGGGGGACTTCCTGTGTCGGTGACTGAGCTTCTTCATAAGCTGTGAATAACTGTTTTGGTGTACTGAAAAACCTGTTAGGCAAGGAAATAGTTTTTTGTATTTTATTTTATTTAATGTTTTTTGTGTATCTGTTATGTCAAGTAAAATAGTCAATTGTCTAATGCGATTCTACTGGCTGTGCTTTTGCTGCATCTTGAATAAATAACGATTTTGGCATCTAAATAGCAAAAAAGAACAATTTATGTACTAAAACTACAAAAATAATTTACAAGAAATAGCATAGCTCAAAAACAACATTTACCCCACATGGTTGTTGAGATTGATTTAAGAATGTGATAATCCTCTCCTTTTTATACATTTGTATGGTTTTGGCAACTAAATATTCTGCTGTTAATGTCATGTCTTACTGATTGATTTATTTTTTTTCTCTTTAGAGGAATTCCAAACTATGAATTTAAGATTGGAACAATCACTTTTATAAGAAATTCTCGCCCACAAGCAAAGAAAGTAGAAGAAGTAAGGGTCCCTTGTGATGGCAAAACAATACTGTCTATATCCCACTGCTTTATATGCCTAATATCATGCAGAAAACCCAAATCGTAGAAACTCTGGATACAAAGTTAGAAAGCAATGTAGTCTAGCCACTTTTCCATAGTATTCTTAAGTCTTTCTTAAAAATAATTATCAGCAGCGATCCTATATATAATATACACTACATGGACAAAAGTACTGTGACACCTGATGATTACACCAACAGGGACTTTTTTTATGACATTGCATTCTAAATACATAGTCATTAATATGTAGTTGATGTTATACTTGGTGATATGAGGCTTGCTTGCATCTCTCAGCCATGGAAACCCATTCCATGAAGCTCCAGTCACGCAGTTTTTGTGTTTGATATTAATGCCAGTGGAAATTTGGAACTCTTCAGCTATGGAATTAGTAGAGCGTTTGTTACATTTACCCACAATGCGCCTCGGCATTTGGTGACTCTACTCTGTGACTTTATGTGGTCGTCTGCTTTGTGGCTAAGTTGCCGCTGTTCCTGAACACTTCCACTTTACAATGATATCACTTACAGTTGACTGTGGAATATCTAAGCGGGGATGACATTTCACAAACGCAATATCTTTGTCCATATGGTGTAAATGTAATGCTAACATTAACATAAGGTAAAACTGGTTTTTTTTTTTTGTTTGTTTTTTTATAAATTAGATTTTAGAAAATAATGTGACAAGAAATCAGTTACACTATAGATGATTATGTGGGATTAGGAAGTTGAGAAAAGATACTTCATTTTTAAGGATACATCTACACCTAGTTTTGGATTACAAAGTATGCATGATCGTAAGACTCTTAATTCATTCTTTCTTTCTTTAAAGGATGAAGCTGTCAACAGATTTATTGCTTTCTCTGGAGAAGGGCAGTCACTGAGAAAGAAAGGCAGAAAACCTTAGGTTACTGTATGGACAGAAAAATAAAATAAGCTTGCAGCATGTGTCTTTTATGTCTTCATCTGAGCAATAAGAGAACATTGTGAGCAACCCTTATTGAAGAAGAGTGTATACTGTGCAGTTGGGAAATGTCAGTTTATGACCTTGAGAATCTGGAGTAGGAGCTCTCATCCTTGTGTGTGAAATGTTCTACTGATGGGATAAGTAAAAGATAATGCCAAGTGTGAATACATCTCTTATATTTGGCAGTACACCAGCTTTTCTTGTTCTGAGTAATTACTGCCACACTGCCCATGGGAGGAAAAAACAGAAAATGTTTATTCTATATAACATTTACAGTATACAGGGCTATTAGTCATTGTTGTTTCTTTCAACGCGAAACTCATGAAGAACCAAATTCAATTTAATGAGATTTGAATTATTATTTGTAATTGGCAATGCTTTATATACATAAGATGGCAGTAATTAAAATATTACTGAATGATGTCTGAGAAATGCCACACTTTTTCCCCAGTAGTAAAATATTGTATTTGTACAATAAACCAAACAAAATTCCACAAAACTCCTGTTTCCATCTGCATGATGTAATGAGTAGCTAGGCCTGTTCTTGGGCATTAATAGTGGGGGTCCTGCCCTGCCCTTGCTTTTTTCTCCCAAGTCTTTTTCAGAACCTATAGTGCTTGAGTGGAAATATGTACAGCTTCCCCGGTGATCAGACCCCTGCTGTGAGACTTGTGTATAATACACACTATTGCCTGAAGGCAATTCAGGCCAGAATTATAAACATAGCTATGAGAGAGAGCTATGCACACTGGGAAAATGTTCATATACCTACAAAGGTAGTTGCTGGACCGTCAGCGATGAATGACTTCTACAGTAGAAGATTTTAAAACAAGGGGTGAACTATGACACATTTAAAGGGATACCTTAGTCACCAAAACACCTTTAGCTTAATAAAGCATTTTTGGTGTGTAGATCATGCCCCTGCAGGCTCCCTGTTCAATTTCTGCCATTTAGAAGTTAAATCACTTTGTTGATGCAGCCCTAGTTACACCTCCCTGCATGTGACTTGCACAGCCTTTATAAACACTTCCTGTAAAGAGTCATCTAATGTTTACACTTCCTTTATTGCAAATTCTGTTTTATTTAGAAAGTCTTATCCCCTGCACTGTTAATAGCTTGCTAGACCCTGCAGAAGCCTCCTGTGTGTGATTAAAGTTCAATATACAGAGCAGGTGATCAACATATTTAAAGTTAGTTACATCTAATTGAAAAAAATTGCAGGGCCATGATCTATACACAAAAACTGCTTCATTAAGCTAAAGGTGTTTTGATGATTATAGTATCCCTTTAACATATGGTGGAGTTGTAATTTATATATGGGAATAGATGTGCAAACAATTAATTACCCTAATTAAGATTTTTGCAGATGTGCATAGATTCTCATGTCCACGTCCAACATCAATCAGCATGCTTATTCAATGAAGTGAGCATTGTTAGTATTCTAAAGTGAAGTTCAAATTTAAGACCAGAAGGAGTACATCTAGAAATCTAGCTGACTTGGAGAATTTTTTCAGTTTACCTATTTTGGCCTTAAATGGATCATATAGCGCCAGGAAAACAAAGCCGTTTTCCTGGCACTATAGGGTTAAAACTTTCCCCACCTCCCGCAGGGCTGAAAGGGTTAAAGCCCTTCAGTAACTTAGCTGAATCCAGCGCCGATGTCCTAATGCTCACGTGCGGCAATGGCCGTGAGGACGTCGAGCGTCAGATAACAGACCAAAATCGGTTTGGATTAGACAGCCACAGAGGGCAGACTTAGTGCTGCAATGTAAACATTGCAGTTTCTCTGGAACTGCAATGTTTAACATTGCAGCACCCAGACCAGTTCAATGAGCTTTAGTGGTCTGGGTGCCTACAGTGTCCCTTTTAAGTTTGAAATTCACTTTGAATTCCTGACAATTCCCATTTGAGAGAATTACCCTGTTTGTGTTTTGTTGTCCTGAATCCCATTGTACTGCGCTACGGAATTTGCTGGCGCTATATAAATAATAAAATTAAAAAAGACATGTAAGAGTTAAGGATGGATGAATTTTAGGTTATATATGTTTATCAAGCAGTAGGGGGTGGACGGCGCTCTATAAATATCATAATAATAATATGCATTTATAAGTGCTTACACTCAAAAATAGACTCATATTATTTTTATAGTGCCAACAAATTCCGCAGCGCTGTACATAGGAATGGACCACACTTTACATTTTATCTCAAATTAATGTGATTTTTTTGCCATTTTTACCCAAAAAGCTGCACCACAAGAGAACTGTCACATTTATTAAATATTGTTATTTTTACAGACGAGAGAAGCGATTACTTGTGTTACCTATTTCTATATAATATGGACAAGAGGTGAAAATTTGCCCCCTTTTCCCAATTTTTTTTTGGGGGGGGAAGGGGGAGATTTCTTCATAGTTATATTTTTTGACAATAATATATGGCCTCTGTTAACTGTTTTGATGATGCATAGTTTTGTTTGTTCTTGTAAAGTGCATTGATTTAGGGAAGTTTAACGTGAGGATTATTTCTAATATATAAGACTTGGCAGTTAGCAGGTCCTCTCATGCATTTTAGTTGGTAGTCTGGATTCCAGTCTTGCCCCTGTTTGTATATCCAATCTTACATTAATCTTTGGATAATAAATAATAACACGGAATAATAGCGGTAACCAGCACAGAATTGAATGTGGTAGGCTTGGTTTAAAGAGGATTGGCTAGAAAGCAGCTCTCAGGCGTGTGGAACTACAACTCCCTTCATGCTTTGCGTTGAAACCGCCTCCAGTAAATTGTGCATGAGCTTACTGTTCCTGCTCCTTGTCCCAGCATGATAATTGCGATAATAGAAATTATACCCGATTCTGATTGGTTCCCACTTCTATGACGCCTTTCCCAGATCTGTCACTGCTAGGGGCGGGGCCTTGATCCGTAATACAGCGTCTTACACTGTGGCTGAGACTCCCCCCATTGGTTGGTCGTCATAGGACGACGGCTGATGATAGGTGTTCGTGCTGGGTGGGCGGAGCTTTATGGGAAGTGAAAGAAGCATGGCTGGCAGGGACACTTGGAGGGTGAGTGAGTAGAACACTATTATTATTATTATATGATAATCTGAGTGCAGATTTATTTTGTTGATTGTGTTAATACATATTATGCTTATTCATTGTTTCACAGTGGTTTAATTGAAAAATCAGTGTCCTTTTAGAATGTTCATATCTATTGCTCTCCTGTGATAGCTAAAGGAAGCAGGTATGTTGCAGCTTACTAAAAGGGAAGAAGCCACCAGGGAAGATAATAGGCTGTTCTTGCAACTTGCTCTCCTTAAAGGGAGACTGTAGTCACTATAACCACTTTGTCTCTTTGAATTGGTTATAGTGCCTGGAGTGGCCTGGCACTGTCCCTCCATTCAGTGTTGCACCATGTTTGTGCAGTATGCTACAAAATAAGAGTCCCTGGCCACCCACAGTCCTGTCCCTTCTGTATGTGTAGCTAAGGCAGAGATTACACACTTCCTTGTTGTCATACCCATTCATACCATCAGTTAGAACGCTGACAGGCTAAAAGCAGTCAGCTGACACTCTCAGCCAATCACAGCTGCCCATTGCTGCTCAGGGTAATACTTCCTTATTAGCCAAAGCAGCACAGAGGGGATGGATTGCCGCGGTCTCTTGTTTAGCATTAAAACATTACAACATTAAAGGACCACTCTAGGCACCAAGACCACTTCAGCTTAATGAAGTGGTCTGGGTGCCTGGTCCAGCTAGGGTTAACCCATTTTTTCATAAACATAGCAGTTTCAGAGAAACTGCTATGTTTATGAATGGGTTAAGCCTTCCCCTATTTCCTCTAGTGGCTGTCTCATTGACAGCCGCTAGAGGCGCTTGCGTGCTTCTCACTGTGATTTTCACAGTGAGAGCACGCCAGCGTCCATAGGAAAGCATTATGAATGCTTTCCTATGTGACCGGCTGAATGCGCGCGCAGCTCTTGCCGCGCGGGCGCATTCAGCCGACGGGGAGGAGAAGAGGAGGATCGGAGGAGGAGAGCTCTCCGCCCAGCGCTGGAAAAAGGTAAGTTTAAACCCCTTTCCCCCTTCCAGAGCTGGGTGGGAGGGGGTCCCTGGGGGTGGGGGCACCCTCAGGGCACTATAGTGCCAGGAAAACGAGTATGTTTTCCTGGCACTATAGTGGTCCTTTAAAAACTGTTTAATGCTGAAAGAAATGATGACACCAGGGGACTCCATACACTATAACCAGTTTAATGAGATGAAGCAGATACAGTGCCTACGGTGTCCCTTTAAAGGAACACTGCTGCGCACTGGAGTGGTTCTGTTGCTAGGAGTTCCGTGAACACTTTGACTTCTTACAAAATGGCAGTGCACTATGATATATGGACACACTGGGTGTTGACAACCTCTTAGGAAAACCCATCACCCACAACTGTCAGTGTGGATGGAGGAGCTCCGGGTGATGGAGGAACTTCATTTAGGGGCCACTAACAAAATAACAGTGTACTATGATATATGGACACACTGGATGTTGTCTTCCTCTGGGGAAGATTTACAAGCACAAGAATGACCGGGTGACCGTGCACACACTCATCTTCATACACAAATGCCTACCCATCCACATACCATCCTTTTCCCCCCTTCTACTGCCATTTATTTTCCACATATCTGGGACATGACAATAGGGAAGGCTATGATAATGGCTCTGAAAGAGGAGGGACCTCCTAAAGTATCTGGCATCATGATGGACTAGCCAACAACAGGGCGAGAATAAGTGTCAGGGGGTAGCTCCCGTGGCCCTGACCTATCATGCTTACAAGACACCACACAAAGTTCCGAAAGGGACACCTGTGCAGAACTCGGTAACAGGCGGCTTAATATGAGGAGAGGGGAATTGGGTGAAGGGGGTCCTGGTGGGATAACACCTTGGGAGAAACAATTACCACAAGGCTTTCCACACCTCCTTTCAAAAGGAAAAGCGGGCGCGTTGATACTCACCCTTCACATTGGGGGGGGACACTCTGTGGGGGCCAGTGTTAACAGTTCTCCTTACCAGCTGAGACCTGCGCATCTCCCATGAATACTCAAAATATTGTGGCTGTTGTTGTCCCAGCCTACCGCAATGTACAATTCGTAACTGGAGAATTTATGAACTGATCCTAACTTAGTGATCTACTAACTGATCCTAACATACAAAAATCTCCAATAAAAAAATATATTTACAAAAAAAAGAGACTCATGGAAGGGCTAGGGGGGGACAAAGAGGCACATGGAGGGACTGTGGGGGCTGAGGGGCTGAAGGAGACCGAGATGCACGGAGAGGCTGGAGGAGACAAATGTTCTATCAAAATCCTGTACCTCGTGAAAATCGCCTACCCTTGTCACTTCCGGTGAGGGGAATCAGCTGGATCCTGTGCTGCACATGCGTGCTAGCACTCCTGCTACTCCTTCACAGAAAGGTACTGGAAGGTAAGTAAAGCTAGTTTTACACTTTCATTATAGTTAGTGCATTCACTAAGCTTAGGAACACGGGACATTTAGGGTGGGGCTGGGGGAGACAAAGACACACAAAGGTGTTTGGGGAGAAAAAGAGACAGAGGAGCTGGAGGGGGTCAAAGAGATACGCAAAAGGGCTGGGGGGACAAAGGCACACAGAGGGACAGGGGGGACAAAGGCACACGGAGGGGCTGGGGCGACAATGAGGCACACGGATGAGCTGAGGGGACAAAGAGGCACACAGAGGGGCTAAGGGGAACACAGAGGCAAATGGAAGGGCTGGTGGAACTAAGAGGCACACAGAGGGGCTTAGGGGACAAATAGAAACATAGAGGAGTAGGGGGGCAAGAAAAACACAGAGGGACTGTTTAAGGTGACAGTGACATACACAGAGGGGGTGGGGAAGGGAATAATGATACAGATAGAGGGTCTGGGGAAGGAAAGACAAACTTCTGTCACTTACCTGGGTCCAGCGCCGTATAGCGTGAGGACGTCCAGCTTCATTTAGGCGGGGTCAGCTAAAGACCACAAAGTCCCTCTAGTGGCTGTCTGGTAGACAGCCACTAGAGGAGGAGTTAACCCCAGCAGGTAATTATTGCAGTTTATTAAAAACTACAATAATTACATGCTCAGCGTTAAGGGTGATGGGACTCTGCACCTAGACCACTTCATTGAGCTGAAGTGGTCTGGGTGCCTACAGTGTCCCTTTACTTGTGGAGGTGGGGAGTGATTCCTGGTGGACAGCAATTTAGTAATCAAACAATTCTCAAATGGTTTGACTACTTACAAAGGGGGGCTGATGGAACTCCTAGCACCATAACAGACTCCCTCAATCTATTTCTGGCCACTCATTTAAAAGAATGCTTTAGAAATGTACGCCCATCAAGTGTTATTCTTCTTGCATACCTAGATAGCTTATGTAATAAACTATGTATAGGTATGTTCTGTGTGCTATGTTCAAGGGTTCATATATTTATGTGTTTTTCTAACTAGCCTCCGAGGGACTGCAGTGATTACTGGATTGAATGGAAGCACTGCCGAAGCTTGAGTAACCGCTTCCACAACTACTACACCCATGGGATAGCGCCTGAGTGCCAGCAGTGGAAAATAGACTATAAAAGCTGCAAAGACTGGGAGGCAACTGCTAGCAATGAGGCCAAGGTAGGGCTTGTAACATAATCAAGTGAAAGAGGGGTAACTGTTTAATGTGTAGTTTTTAATATGTGTGTATATACATAACTTATTTTTTTTGTACACGATATTGAAAATTTTAAGTTTTAGTCCAAAGCAGCTGAGCTGGAAACATAGCAAAATTATCTTGCCAGTTTGCCACAGCTCATGGCTTAGTTACCCCTAGATACTGATAGCTGTGTGAGGTAGAGAGCATATATGAGACAAAGCAATGGGATAGATTAGTGGGGTTGGGAATAGAACAAAGAAGGAATGTGGTTTAGAAAAGAGTGTATGCATACATTGCAAAAATGGTACAAGATGTGTATGCTTTATAAAATCTAGAATTATTTTGAGATTGTTACTTGTGCAATAGATTTTTCTTGTTGATAGTTTGCAGTTTTTGCCGATTCAGAATCGTCTTGGCTGGAGAATATGTGATCGTTACAGTGAAAATTTCGTGCAAATTTTTAAAAAGCAAGCATTAAGTGTTGTAGAAAAAGTGTTTATTGTTTGAGGATCATAATTCAGAGATGGTTTTAATAAAGGACTGGTTGAGACACTTACGGTGTTTAATGATCTTATGCATTGCAGGAAGCTCTACGACAGAGTGAAAATAGTAGACTCAACGAGAAACAAAGTTATCTTCCAGTGTGGAGACTCAGAAAGAAACCCCCTGCAGACTGGTACTTACCATTGGACAGAGACAAATTTAAACAGTGAGAAAAATTGGTGGGTCACTACATGTCTGCAAGCAGAGAGAATAACTGGACTTTGCACTGGATCGTTACTGGTCTGGGGATAAAAAGCTAATCAAATAATATGCACACTCAGTTTGAAGTTGTAGGTGCCATGATTGTTCCTAAAACATGTTCCATTAAGTATAGTTTCCTATGTTAAAGTGGCTCTGTCACCAAAATATACTTTCTCTGATGTGCTTCTATATATTTATTTCCTTGTGTCTGAATCTCTTTGTATTTGTATCATGAAATGCATTTACTTATTTATAGCTGTCAAGGTGACAAAAGTTGACAATGGGTAGTATTAAATCATGGTTCTGTTTTCTAATTAAATTCACCCCCAATACATCAGTAACATGAATCCCACAGAACATACAGCAGACGTTATGGACAGAGGAGAACAAAATGGCGGGCCACTATAATATTGAGATCTGGCTCAATGAAGAAAAGATAAATATAAAGACAAGTAGCAAAGGGGGAAGAGTATAAGATACCAGGAGCTTAAAGTGCCACTATAGGCACCCAGATCACTTCAGCTCAATGAAGTGGATGGGTGCCAGGTCCCCCTAGTTTTAACCCTGCAGCTGAAAACATAGCTGTTTCAGAGAAACTGCTATGTTTACAGTTTAGGGTTATTCCAACCTCTAGTCTTTCTGACAGCCATTAGAGTCCGCTTCTGCGATTTACACTGAGTTAATTGCACTTAAAAAAACAAAAACAGTCTCTTTCAGTTTACAGTGTTAAAAGATATACAATATACACCAATTAGTGGAGCGCTGTATAAATTTAAAGTGATAAAGGGGCTCACTTACCCTATCAATTTTGTGTATTAGCACACTTAAGGATACATGCTTGAAAATGCATGTAAAAGAAAAACAAAGAAATATATAATGCAGATGGTCTTATATATTATTAAATGATGAAAGTGGAATAACTAGAACTACTGACATGGTCTGGAGCCTATATGTTATTGGCTCCGTAACATAGGCCTTAATGCTCTTTGGGCAGCAACACACCCCTTTCCTTGATGGTATTCCTCCAAAGAAACAGGAGAGAATGGAAATAGACCAGATGAGTAGTATTGTGCAAAACTGCGGTGCTCACCTTATTAAGAGCCTTAAGTACCTGGCTATGAGAGTGTTCAGCAGTATGCCAATTTCTTGGATGGCAATTCCCACAAAGAATTCCTGGAGGCTTAAGGACTTAAATGGTATAAAAAGTAAATTTATTGCTTACAAATAAAAACACAATATTGTGGGTTTTAAATAAAAAATGGAAATGTAATTTACAAAGTCCAAAGTCAGCCAAAACGCGTTTCACCCGTCTGTGAGCTTCCTCAGTCAGCTGTAATGTAACCTCAGGAATCTTTTTCATTTAAATGTTCAGTCTTTTTCTTAGTACCTCCTCTTTAGAGTCACATGATGTATAGTTGGCCAATCCTGAATGTCAATTTGCTTGAATTGCTGATATGACCTAGGGATACCTGTGGTTGGAGAGCCCCTATTGGGTTATTGGCTTTCCCACCCATACTTGTATATTTAAACAATTAGTCATTGGTGGCTCAGAGGTATAGAAACTGGTTTGTGGTTGGCAGAAATGACGTCACAGAAAACTCAGTTCGTCAGATCCACCATTGGAAAAGAGAATCCCACCGAAGTGTATACATTGGTGGTCAGAGGTGTCATACATCCTTCACCTTCCCTCCTCTAACTGGCGGAAATGATGCGGCATTACGAATATGACTGTCATACACGCCAGTCCTCGGTAGTGCCACCTCCCAATTGAGCTTGGGGGAGGTCCTGGCGCTTATAGTACTTATTTGACCCTGGACGTTCTCACAGAGACTGGATGCGTGCGTGCCTCTGGCCGTGCATTCTGCTCCACTCAGGAGCTGTCAGCGGGGGAGATGCTGGATTAAAGGACCACTATAGTGCCAGGAAAACACTCGTTTTCCTGGCACTATAGTGCCCTGAGGGTGCCCCCACCCTCAGGGTCCCCCTCCCGCCAGGCTCTGGGGAGAGGAAAGGGGTTAAAACTTACCTTTCTCCAGCGCCGGGCGGGGAGCTCTCCGCCTACGATCCTCCTTCTCTCCTCCCATTCAGCTGGCTGGGCGCGCATTCAGCCGGTCCCATAGGAAAGCATTTACAATGCTTTCCTATGGACGCTTGCATGTTCTCACCGTGATTTTCACAGTGAGAATCACGCAAGCGCCTCTAGTGGCTGTCAATGAGACAGCCACTAGAGGCTTTGAGGGCTGGATTAACCCATTTATAAACATAGCAGTTTCTCTGAAACTGCTATGTTTATTAAAAAAATGGGTTAATCCTAGAGGGACCTGGCACCTAGACCACTTCTTTAAGCTGAAGTGGTCTGGGTGCCTAGAGTGGTCCTTTAAGGTAAGGGACTGAAGGGGTTTTAACCCCTTCAGTGCCAAGGGAGGGGGGCACTGCAAGAGCCTACAGTGCCTTGAAAACGGGTTTGTTTTCCTGGCACTAGATCCCTTTATGGAGAGGAAACCTGAGGAAGAAAATTAAAAATCTTAAATACATTTATTTTAAATGGCTGGGCCACTTTATAGAATCCAATATTCTATTATATGTGTTTCTCAAAACATTCTAAAGCATGTTAGAATCCTTGTCACAGTGTGACCAATGTTTTAACCCCTTGCATGACATGTCATGATTCCCTTTTATTCCAGAAGTTTGGTACTTAAGGGGTTAAAGCAGGTCTGTCACTTTTCAGTATTCCTAAAGATATCTTTATAAAATACCAATTAAGGGATCTCATTGAAATTCCAACACAATCCAAAGGTACTATAAGACAAACTAGGAACTACTTTTGGTTGAGAAAAGGAGGAACTCCTCTCAACTTTTACCAATCCCTGCAGTCATCACAGGATTTTTCTATGGAGTATCGCGTAGAATCCACCTTAGACCTCAGTATTGCACTCTCGCGTCTCCTGCCTGCTGAAGCACCAGGAACCGAAGAGACCTGCAGCATGAAGATGTGGAAAGCTGTGAGAGACAGCTGTAGGTAAGTAAAACTTGCCTCCCCTGTAATGCACAGCCACCAAACCCAAACCAGATCTGTCCATTTCAGGGAACTCTGAGAAATATGCAGAGACCTCCAAAATTCTCATATCCACTTTAAGCTTCAGCACATGAACACCAGCACACATTGCAATAGAGGAAAAAGAGAAGCAGTGAGTGTTATTGTTTCTCCTCCCTCTCTTATGTCAGGCGCAAATGGCAGAATGTATAATAGTGCTTGACAAGGGACCTAGGTGAAGAGGTGTTAAAAATTGAGTCTGGACATTTTCAGATTTGTTGCTTGATTTCTGCAGAAGAATGTGCACTCCAGGGGAAAGACTTACATAAGTTGTGTTCAGAAGTTGGGGTAGTTATCATGAATGCACTAAAACATACTGTGTGTGACAGCTATCTTTAAGGAGAAACAAGCAACTTCTGCCCACGCGTTGACCCTTTTAATGGGTTAAAAAGTGAATGCATAGTAGGGTAGGTCAGCCCTTTTTCTAGCTCACACGAGAGAGTAAAATGGTATGTCTGTATCATTTGGATGATCCCTGTTGATGCTTTGGGTTAGACTTGTATTCCGTTAGTAAATTTAGTCCTAACCCCAGCCTGTGTGCCCTGTTAGAACATTGTTGTTGAATTTCAGTATCCAAAGCTACCCATAATACAAGTCCTCTAAACACAACACGTGCACCCCCAAAAGGGGAACCAATTGCTGTCAGAACATTTGCCTATCTAAAGCATGTGTTCATTCCTGAAGCAAGCTATGGTAGGTATTTTTGTTGGTACAGGCATTGGCCCCATTTTACTGTGGCTGGCTGGTCAGTAACTGGTGACAGAAAATATTAATTGAAATGCTCACCCCAAATCTCTCCTCTTCAGGAGACAAATCATGATTGATTTATTGATCACAAGGATTAAAAGTTGTCTAGATTGAAATGAAATCCCTGGAAAGGAAATTAAAAAAAATAAATTAAACTAACATCTGCTTAATCGTGTGTGCCAGAATTAATACATTCTCTGCGTATGTGACAATTATGTCTGCATGTACGTGCACATGGTTTATGGAAGGAAGATGCTCAGTGTTTTCTGCAGTGTAAAAAGAGGCTTCAACGTTTGTACTGCATCCAAAACAACTTTCTTGGATTTTATTTGCTTTAAACACAAGAGTATTTATACATTGACATGAAAAACTAAGAAATCAATATAATTGTTCACCCCCTTTTATGCATCACTTTTAAGTCCCTCCTTATTATATATATATATATATATAATATATATATATATATATATATATATATATATATATATATATATATATATATATATATATATATATATATATATATATATATATATATATATATATATATATATATATATTCATATGTCTTTACAGCTCTTTTAGTCCCATAGAGAATAAAAAAAAAAAAACACAGTCAGTGCACAGATCCCACATCAAACATCTCACTGAGTGTATACTTTGGTGATATCATTGTATTTCCCCTCTGGGGCACTGTACTGGGGTATAGGAGGAGTATGGCATGGTCCCCGCTTCTCCAGAGGGAGAAGTTCTGAGTCACACCGCATGGCTGCATTGTAGAGTTCTTCTGACTCCAGACGCAGCTCTTGCAGAGCCTCACGCTGAGCTTCCAGGAGCGACTCCACACTTTTGATCTCTGCTTCATGTTCTTGTTGCTTGTGGAGTGCCCACTTCTTCATCAGTAGCGCTCTCCTTTCTTGCTCTTCCACAGGCAGCTGAGGGGGTCTACGGACTCTGGCAAAGACACAAAAAGCTAGCTACCACAGTGCACCTGAAATATATTTTTCATGCTAACAAAGGTCACTCAATGTTGTAACACCAAACTATAAAAATCAATTTGCACTGATCATCATAGGCATGTATAAATAATAAGTAGGAGGAAATGAAGAATTTAAAAAAAAAAATAAAAAAAAAAAATAGAATGGTAAATGTGAAGTTCATCATGCAACTTTTGCTAGCAGGATCATTGGTCCAGCTAAGATGCAAGACAACTAACTGGAAGACTTATATTGTTAGCAAGGCAGTGGGAAGATGGGTGCAATGCACGATTTCTGATGGAATGTGCCTTTAATATAAAAAGGATTACTTTCTTCGATCATAGGACTAATGCTGAAACATTTGTAGACCTGGGTAGATCCACCACGTATTTACACTCCAAACCTGACCAAAGAACAAAATTGATGCAGCAATAGGTGACAGAAGCTCAATAGATACAATAAGGAACAGGTTGAAATTCTAAACCAGACCACAGTCCCAAATACAAGAAATATTTGAAAGAGATACTTAAAAGACAATGCAACTAACGAGTCCCATATATATTAAAGAAGGCTGCATACAGTCCCTTGACAAGCAGCGGTAGACGTGCTTTTATATTCCTTGGGAACTAAAATGGGGACTTTCTGACATTACCAGGCATGTACCATCACCACAATGGGATCTTGAGTCTACTGACATATGGGTTATTATGCCTGAAACAGATCATTGCATTGCGGGACTTTGCTCGGCCCCTGCAAGGCATCAGTTGTACAGAGTACTGGGTTGGGGAGGCTCCCTGGCTTTGTGCTTTTCATAATTACCTTCCACAATGAAACCTGTTGAGCACTGTCTTATTTGTTACACTTTTAGTTCAGTCACCAATTTAATACCTGTTTACCGTTTTCTATACTTACTTTCTGAC